ATTAACCACCTGGATATAAGTAGTATATGCCGGACTACCTAAGATCACCACTTTAATCGGCCATATCAACCCCTTCACAAAGTGGTCTCGCTTCTTTTCTTCCGTATTGACCTCCTCTGGTGCAAATAATGACAAATTAATGAACTTCTGTTCATACTCAGCCACAGTCATATCTTCCTGTTGCAGATCCAGAAATTCAGTCTTCATCGCTGATCTTACTGACATAGGAAAATACTTGTCGTCAAAGCGTGTCTGAAATTCAGCATACGTCAATCTGGTCCTCTCATCGACAGTAGTAATAGACTCCCACCACTGCAATGCATTGCCTATCAGCATAAACGTAGCCAGCATCTGTTTCTGCACTTCGGTACAGATTACCATCCGAAGATGACGCTCGCTCTCCTGTTTCCACTGATATGCTAACAGGACATCTGTGGACCCTGCAAATGTTGGTGGATTTCCCCGGATGAACGAGTGACGAACTTTGTCCCATGACATTGGCTGTGCCACTGGTTCAGGAACAGGTACTATCGGAGGAGGTTGCTGGTTTCGTAGAGCAGATGCTACTCCTGCTGCCACCGCTCGTGCAATGATATCAGCAACTTGAGGAGAAAATTCCTGATTCTCATTTTGAGTTGGGGAAATACTGCGATGACGGTTCGCATTCCTTGTCCCACGCCGAGACATCCTTCTTTTAAATTCAGAAAAATCTAACGTCAGTACATTATAATGGACCGACTAAAAGAATACAAAGAACCCTAATACTTAGGCTCTAATTATCAGAATACACAACGCGGAAGTATAGTAATCACAGATCCCTAAGACACTCGAACCTGGAATGCTCTGATACCAACTGTAACACCCCCACATTTTCCACGCATAAGTTGATCAAGCTTATACACGAAAAACGAGGGATATCAAAAACAATTGGCAATATACAAGCATGGAATACAAAATGATGGAAATAAAAGAATTTAGACAGGAAAGAAACATTAAATAATACAACATCCATCCATCCTTTATTTAATACAGTACTTCATTACAACTTGGAAATCCTACGTCAGGGATCCCTAAATATAACCCTGAGAGTTCAACGTCAAAAGTAAATAAAAACTGAAACTGAAATACTACATAAAACTTCTACCCTGCACTGGATCGTAGGAGTAGATGAGTTCGGATGATGGTCCCACACTGCTAACCTCAGCCTTGAAACGGATACTGACCGTATCCTGAAATAACAACAATGGTGGGTCAACCCCACGAGCAAGTCCTCTCTACTATGACCCAAATCAGAGAATCAAATAAATTAATTATTATGAATCGGATGAGTGCTATATCTGTATACATCCTATGGGAACTATCCGATGTATAACATGACCTCAACCAGAATAGACGGTGATCACTTAGACTCACACTAGGTGGTCAAGTGTCGCCTTTCCCTACCCGGGAAATCAGCTATTATACATGGTGCACGGTACTGACAACACAGACTATAACGAACTACACAGTAATAACACCTCGCAAAGTACTGATGAATATACTGAGCATATAAATTAGGCAACACATGCCAACAATATTAATAAAGATACCGAGAATGTCAATTTAGGCAACACATGCCAATAATATTAATAAATATACCAAGTATGTCAGTTAGGCAACACATGCCAATAATATTAAACCACATACCCCGACAGCCACACATCTGTCTATCGCAACGAATGCATAAGGTATAAATGAGTCTAAACTTATTAGTCAGCTCACATGGTTCTATATGGCAACACATCCATATAATATAAATGCGACATAATAAACAGTCCATTTATTCCCTGAAATGCACACAGCATAATAATCATGATTTATATACGATTAACAGTATAAACATCCCGTAAGATATCATGGATAATTTATCTGACTAAAACCATGGCCTTATTTAATTTAACAGTAATGTTTGATACCATTTAATACGATAATAACACTATTTATATTTAACAATGTCGTTAAATAAACCACATTAGTATCCGTACTGAGAATGAGCCAATAAATGCTTAGAAAAGATTAATCGGTCATAAGAATAAGTAACGGGTGTTAAAATAATAATTTCGTGGCCCGTTAAACCCGTAATTACCAACACAGTACCTAAAAATCCAAGTTTAAGGTTCTGGAATTTACAAAACAGGCCCTAGGGGTATTCTGGTAATTTCCAGCAGCTGTAGGGACCCCACACGCGCCCTCACGCGCCTCCCAGAGCCTCCCCACGCGCAGCCAAGCTTTCCCCACTCTCCCACGCGCCTCCACGCGCGTCTGGCGTCAGCCACGCGCTCCCACGCGCGCGCACGCGCTGCCACGCGCGCACTAAGGGTGCCTTGCTGACGTGTCACTTTCTGGTTGGTTGGCTGCATCCGGACTCCGTACTCGCGTCACACTGGATCATCTCACCCTATCTTCCCTCCATCCAACGCCCATAGATCCGGGTGTACCGCGGTATCATGGACCGCGATGCACCGGATCAATCAGACTCCACTAATGGCCAGGATGCGCGCGTACACCCTCCTATGGTGCGCCGCGTTGCACCGGATCACTCCGGTCGTCTCCCCCACTGCCGGCGACCGGAAAACTCGCCGGAAGGTCGCCGGAAATTGCAGAAAATGCCCGGAAAAATCTAGAAAATTCTAGAAAAATCCCTAAAGTCTTATTTAATTATTTTTAGCCATTAAAAATTTCATAGGACATTAAATAAATATATACCATCCTATATAATTAAAATTCCATTAATTGAATAAAATAAAATTAATAATTTATTAACCTCTAAACCTTGGCTCTATGCATAAAACTAAGCTAAACAATTAATTTATTAATTCAAAGGGGAAAAGTAGATAATAACTTGCCTTTTTGGATTTAAAATAAATCCGCCGGTCTGCGCGTAGTCGGGTAAAATTGCCTACACCGGTCCAAGCTTCTTTCTCTTTCTCTTTTCCTTTCACTCTTATAAAATAGCTCTCTAGAATTTATACTTTGCTTCTAACTCCCTTTTATTTTTTTCTAAGGCAAGCTAGTTAATTTATAGACAAAATATATAATATAAATTTTACAAATATCTAATTTATAATAACTTCTCACCCATTTCTCATATTCCTACCTATATGGCTTTAATTCCAACCATAACCATTGATGCAATCCTATCCTAATCTCTAATTCCATCATGACTTTGGTTTAATACTATTATTATTATTATAAATATTATTATTATTATTACTAATATTATTATTAATAAACTTTTATAATAATAATTATTATTATTATATTATTATTATTATTATTATTATTAAACTAATATAATTATTATTATTACAAAATAATACATTATATCATCATAATACTATATAACACAAATATAATACTTTAATTAACTAATAATGATTAATTTAAGCATAACCAACAAATGAAATTATTATTAATAATACATGCATAATTAAATGAATAAATTTACTATTTTAACATACACAATTAATTTACATGCACAATTAAATGAACTTAATATAATAATGTAGTATGCACAAATAAATAAAATTAATTAACCTAACACAAGATTAATTTAAATACATTCTTTAAAATTACGGGGTATTACACTTGTAAATTCACTCTTTTTAATAAAAAAAAATCCAATATGCAAATTTTATTAAATAAACATTGAGTGAATGAGCACATAAATAAAATGTCCTATTTTAAAAATAAAATAAAATAAATAAAATGTCCTATTTTTTTATCACACAAAAGACAATCACACTTGCCAATCTTCCTTAAAGTCAATTACAAAAAGTTTTGACTTCCGTCCCTTAAGGTCGGATTATCCAAGTATGCATATCGACAAGTGGCAAGCGGATAGCAAAAATCCATTATAAGTTTAATTCAAAGACGATAAAAATTGCTTAGGGGATGATAAATTGAAGAAGGGTATATTATTTATAGTAAATGAAATGACTGCTTTGCAAAAAGAAAAAAGTATGGCCGCAAATTCAAAATATTTAGTTGAGTAAGAAGTTATTGGAGTCCAGTTTAAAAAATGGAATTTTTTTGGTGTATCTTCAGCAATGAAAATATGCAATATATTAATAAAAAAATGAAAAATAAAACCGGACAAAAAAAAAAAAAGCCCGTGTATTCATTAATCATTATGAAAATGGTTTGAAATTTCCCCATCTCATATTACATTGGAAAGGAAGGAGGTGCTTTTCTTTTAGTAATTTTATTTCACTTAAAAGTTAAAATCCAAATTTCTTACTTCTTATTTATTTATTTTTTAAGAAAAGGTTATATCTTGTACACTAATAATTTGGTGATAAAAAGTTGAAATTGATAGTTGAATAGTGAGCACATTTAGTATAATAGGGCCAAAACGAAGTGGGAGAGTGTAGGGCAGTTGTATTACAATAAGACAGGACGCAGAAATATAGGGGACAGATGTACAAAACCCCAATCGCATTCACATTTGTATGCTTTTAAACGTCTGGTTTATTGTCTCTCTCATTCATTTTTGTACTAAAGAGGCAAATGACGAAACAACCATGGAATACATTACTGAAACATGGGTGTTCTGTAATTTTCTTAATTCTTTTTATTAATTATATTTTTAATTTCCTTTTGACTATAAATTTCGTTGAACACAGTATTATGACAGTAAGTAATTTATTTTGTTTCCTGGTAATATTTTGACTTGTTTTAACTGTTCAAAAGTCCAGATGCAGAGTACGAGAAAACGTGGAGGACATTGAAGGCTCACATGTCACATAGTCAAGTCGTGTTCATCCAATAACTTATGAGTGTGTGTAGCCAAACTATTGGCTGACCCATGATAATGCCGTGGTCATCCACATAATTGTCCGGTAACGCGGAAATTCGATGTTCCTCAATCCTATCCATGGTCTTAATCCAATATTTATGAATAACCTAATTAAACATACTTATAAGTATAGATGTTTAGTCGTATTTATTTTTAAAATTTTTGGAGGACCATGCGGGGCATATGGTGTTGCTAGTGTATGCTACTTCCCTGTCCACCCATAAACTCAATCCACCTTTCATATTAACATTTCAAAAAATTCGCAAACTTAGAACGGTTCAGTCACATTAATGATTAATATTATAATCTATTGTCTTATTAATGCTCTCTCTCTCTCATATTTGGCTTTTCTGAAAACACCCCAAAATAGTCTCTTACTAGTGCTTCATCATTCATGAATTGACGGTTCTGATATATATATATATATGTGTGTGTGTGAGATTATATATGTATATGTATATAGAGTTGTTTTAGTTTTTGTTTGGCTTTCTGGGAAAGTTGATTCCTTTTAATTAGAAGAGATGGATTTCCGTTGAGGAAAAGATGATCTTGTCTTGTGGATAGAAATTTTATCTGGGTATCTCACATTTGGTTCGATCGCGTGAATTGTACGTTGTTCCCAAAGTTTGAATACTTTTCGACAAAATTCTCATATTTCTCTTGGGTTTTCTTTCCATAGATTGCGCCGAACTAGGGGGTGTTCTCGGAATTTCGGGTACATGTCATTTTCCCGGAAAATATACATATATATATCTATGATCCTTAGCGTTTTTTCCTTGTTAGCTTTTGATTTACTTTGAATCGTCCGACTTTTGTGAACAGAGTTGAGTTTTCTTAAAGGGTAATGGAAAATTAGTACTTCGCTTGGGTTCTTACCAATTGATCGAGATACAATTTCGCCGGAATCTCACTTTCCCGGTACCGTAAAAAGGTTGAATTGACAACATTGGCGATGGTGACTCTCTTTCTCCATATCTATATATAGAGAGTGAGTTTAGAGAAAGAAATTGAAGTATTTTCCTTTTTTCCCCATAAATTACTAGCTGTCTAAACGTCAAAATATAGAAATCTTGTAGACCAAGGATAGAAAATCCCGAAGGTCTCTCCCTCTCTCTGTGTTTTACCTTTTTGTTCTTTGGGTTCCTCTGTTTTCAGGGTTAGGAGAGAGAACAAGTAATAAATCTCTGTCTCTCTCTGTAATCATGATTTTCGACATTTCGTCAATGAAATCGAACCTGGAATGCTTCCTCGATTGCACAACACCAGCAGTCCCATCCCAATTCTTACCCAAGGTATGTTTTTCCTTTTTCATTTTTCTTTTTAGTTTTGATTTGAGGTGGTTTCTTCACAAAATTTCATTTCTTTTACTGAAACTAACTCATATATATTTATATATGTATATATTTATGTGCATCTGTGTGTGTGTGTGTTTTTTTTTTTTTTTTTTTGATTGCTTACATATTTTATGATGAATGATTTATTGCAGAGTGAGACTAGAAACCTTAACAGGCTTTGGCATCCTTGGGAGAGAGAAAAAGTTGAGTATTTTACATTGGCTGATCTTTGGAATTGTTATGATGAATGGAGTGCTTATGGTGCTGGAGTTCCAATCAATTTGGACAATGGCGAAACCCTAATTCAGTACTACGTCCCCTATCTATCTGCACTTCAAATTTTTACCAGTAGTCCATCGTTGAATGGTCTAAGGTATCACTTCCATTCTTTACATTTTTAAGTTGATACAGTTTAGAGCAAACTTCATTAGTAGTATAACCAAATATATGTGAACTTTATTCGAGTCTTGTATTTTAAATGCGTTCATTTGATTGGTTTCAAAGGTTTTAAGTTGTTTAGCTGACTTTCTTAAAGCACTATTATGAATTACTCGCAGTTTGTCGATTTGTCGATTAGTTGTTTTTTATTAGTACTACCATTTTCTGTTAGATATAGTAATCGAAATGCTTAAACTTCCCTATGGATTGTTTTAAGCTTATTGAATTTAGTGCTTAAATCCCTTTTTGGTTTGAGACCTTGCACTTCTGTAAATTGTTGGTTTCAATTTAATTAATGTTCAGATTTGTCTATGATATCTAGCCAAGCACTCATTTTATGTTTGGTTGTGTATCTATCAAAGTCATTACAAAACTAAATTCGAATTGATTCCCAAATAGGGATGAGATGGAGTCCGTGTGTGAGGCGAGGGATTCATTCAGTGATTCATTCAGCGAAGAGAGCGAGAGCGAGAAGCAATCGGGATGGGATGGATGGTCCTCCGAGGATGGAGGGTTGGAGCAAGAGAGTCTCTGGCATTTGAATGATAGGTTGGGCTACCTTTACTTTCAGTACTTTGAGAGATCAACTCCTTATGGAAGAGTTCCCCTCAAGGATAAGGTACTCATTATCAGTTCATGTTGCTCTTGTGAGTTGGGAAAAGCTTGATTGTAGCTTTCTTATGTTCTTTACTTTCGTTAAAGTTTATCTCTTCTATACATATATTTTTTCTATAATTATTGTAATAGAAGTGAAGAGAACAATGGAAATTATTATGGATATGTTGGAACCATTTTAAATCCTTTTCACAGTGAGCATCTGATAAATATCTAATGGAATTTTTGACCGACCTTGTTTTTCTCGAGTTATTTTCTATTAAAGTATTGATGTTGTCAATATAGATTCATCTTTATTATATTCTCCCTTCCACCTTGTCCCTATCTCTTGTATGAATTAATAACATACTTATTTCTTCTTCATTTGTGGGTAATTGAATTATTATGTTTCTTGAGCATGTGCTCTTTCTTTTGATGTATTTTTATTTTTAATACTAATTGTTGGGAGGATAAAGAAAATCTAATTCTGATTCCATGTGAAACACGAGGTTTCAATTTTTTGGATGATTCTGACAATTTATGCTCTATTTTTATATGATTTCTCTACCATACGAAATCAAGTGAATTAAATTGACATTTTTGGCTCTTTGCTTTCAGATCAGTGGATTAGCACAAAGATACTCTGGGTTAATGTCATTGAGAAGTGTAGATCTTTCACCGGCTAGTTGGATGGCAGTTGCCTGGTCGGTCTCTCTCTCTCACGCGCGCACGCACACATATTGTATTGTGCCACTTCTCCAGCCCCAGTGGCAACTGTGTATTATCTTGAAAGCTTAAACATAATTTACTTCAACAGACACAGACTGGGGCTTTGAAGTGACTAATTTTTTCCATTGAAAACTAAAAGTGACTTCTGTTCATGCAATGGTGCATGTATCATTTTCTTCATTAATCTGAAAATCTGAATAAGGAATAGAGATTGCGTAAGTAATTTGATTGATGTCAATAACATCAGGTATCCAATTTATCATATTCCTATGGGAAGGACCATAAAGGACTTGCACACATGCTTCCTCACTTACCACACGCTGTCATCTTCTTTCCAAGGTATACTCTTGTTCCTTTTTTTGACATAAAGCTTTGTTTATATCCTTTTCCGGAAATTGATTTATTGTACATTGTATGTTTTTTTATTTTATAAATATGCATCTCCAATATGTGTATCAATTTGCAGATATGGACCTTGAAGATGACATGGGAGGTGCAGGAAGGAAAGGAAAGGAAGTGGAGGGAATCTCACTTCCTGCATTTGGTTTGGCCACTTATAAGATGCAAGGAAATGTGTGGGTGTCGAGCAGGAGTGGTCGGGACCAGGAGAGGCTGGTGTCGCTTTTGAGCGTGGCAGATTCATGGCTAAAGCAGCTGGGGGTTCAACACCATGACTTCAACTACTTCACGGGGAATCGGCGTGGCTGAAAACCATAATACAACTTTGGAATTGGTTTGGTACCCAGGAAATTGATTTTGTACTATAGTCACTTTCTTTGGCCTTTGTGTTGTTGGTTTGAGGGATGTTCTTGAAAATGTGAAGATTTTAGTTGATATATCACTTTTTCAGCTTCATCAATGACCCTTTCTCCATGACAGCCCATTTTCAGATTTTAGGGATGAGTGGACCCTCTTTTTTGCCTGTCTGGGAGATTTGTGTGTTTCAAAACTATTTCTGCATAGGACAGGTTTAAGAGATGAGATGAGAAATGTAGCAGATGAGATGAGGAGGGGTTGGTTAGTTCATGGGGCTCTTAAAACTGTGAACTTTTTTCACTGTTGTATCATATGTTTTCTCCTGTTATATGGAATTCACAATTCAGTCTGCGTTTTCTCTTTTTGTCTTTTATTTGTTATCATGGCAAGTAATTCAGACATTCAATTTGTTTCCGTTGAAATTTGAACCCTCCATATTTTACTTCAGAAAATTCAACAATGTGCATTAAGAGGGAATATATTTTAAACTTCAAAAAATATGAGTGGGCGTACACAAAATTGGAGGCTTTTACCATGATGTTTCTCATAATTTTTGGTTAAATGGTATGTTGTATTGTACTACACCAAAATAGCTCTCCCTTCCTCCCTATATGAACCTTTACAATTAAATTTTCTTTGCTTCTCCATTTGGTGCGTAATAAGTGATGTGATAACGTTGTGGAGTTTGGTAGGTTGAGGTTTTGGGGGAAGTTTCTGATTGCCAAGAGATGAGGAGAAAAGGTGGATTGGATTCTAGCTTCTAGATAACTCGAAAACCAGAAGAAAGGTGGGTCCGAAATGTTGGAGCCACAAGTTTCAGCATCGTGAATCACATTTCAATATGGTATATCCTAAGCCTCTTGTTTTGTGCAATTAACCACCACTTATTATTGATCACTAAATCAAAAAGGGCTTTAAGATTTGTGATTTTTAAGCAAAATTAAGAGCACCTCACTCTCTATGTAATTAACGAAGTTCATAAACTCTCGTAACTTTGCTCATTTCTATGCGGTGCTTAATAGATTGAGGTTTGATTACTCAGTAAGAAAAATGGGATAAAATTTTGTTGCCATTTGTACACTTGGTTTCTGTATGAGGAGGATATTCTGATTGACTTGTCAACAAGAAAAGATAAGGGCATATTCCTTACACTTCATGTATTGTATTCTTATCTTACCTTCCATTTACACAATTGTCCAAGCAATAATTGTCCCTTCTCATCCTAAACTTGATGCTATTGCTGAATTGGGCTACCTCCAAAGCTCTTACCAATTGAGGTCGGTCTCTTGACAAATTCAAAATGGTCACCAAATAACAAATTCAGCTTCTTTAACACCTTTAATATTACTCAAGTCCATCACTGTTTTAATGTACTATAATAAATTTATGTTTTGTTCTGACAACCATCAACCCCCACATGAATGATGTGTCCTGCTCGTGATTCATGTATGTTTTGTTTTGACTTGGATCACCATGATTTTTGCCTTTATGGGAGTGCAGCCCAATATGTTTATCCACCTGGACATCAGTCCAAACACATAGTAGGGAAACTCATCATTTCTCATCCTATCCAAACAAATACCATCATACATATAAATGATCTGTGTGTGTGTGTGTGTGTGTTTATGGGTATATATTTACAGCATAATACAGAATTAGGGAGTGCACCCATTAACGAGCACCATCTACAACACCACAATGGACATTGGTTCATGAATTCAGAAGCGCCTTGGCACTTGCAACTCATCTAGCATTTCATAAATTTCGTCATGGCAGCTTGCCATGTCTTCAGATTAATGAAATCTTTATTTTTCTAATAAGGGCATTTTAGTTCCAACATTAAATTTTATTATGAAGTGTTCGGTGATTGGACAAGCTCAAACAATAAGAGAAACTAACTTTTGTTACAAATTAGTAGGTTTTAATTATCAAATTGCGTCAATTAATTTAGGACTGAGCTTGTCATCACCATTACATATCTTTATCATTTTCACTTGGATTCGTTTGGTTAGACAGAAATTATAATGGAAATTGAAAGAAAAGAAAAGAAAATCAAGTTTTCATCGTGCATTTGGTTAGCAAGAATTTTTTTCAAAAAAATTATAAGAAAATATTATTTTGTAAGTTTGGAAAGTATGAAATTGAAAAGAAAGTGATTATAGTTACCAAAATTACCTTTTTAGTTATAAAATTACTTTATACTTTTTGAGACCATTATTCTATCTTCTGAATTATGAACAAAATTAAAATTTTAAGTTCAAAATGAAACCATATTTAATAATTTGATATATGTGATTATAGGTACAAGTTTAATTAATAAAATATTTAGGAAAAAAGATTGAAGTTAATATATATACTTTTAGTCAAAGAAAGGAAAAAAAAAAAAAAAAGTTGGGTCTAAACGAAATATAGTGCTTTAACTTAATTTGTTTGATACATCTAATATGTGTAGAATTAAAACTAAATTAATTTGGTACATCTAATTTACCTAGAGTCCTAAAGTCGAGAGAAGTCTATGTATGAATTAAATTGTAAATTATATAAGTAGAGACACTAATCCTAGTTTTTCACCATACACTCTACTTCTATATATATATATATATATATATTGTCACTCTAAATCATTATTAATTATGAAAGAAAAAAAAATATAATAAATTTTTAATTTTGTATGTACATATAAAACTATATACAATTAAATTAGTATTACATTATTATATAAACAATTTACAATAGAAGAGAACTGGCCTATTAATGAAGTTTGTGAAGAAAGTGGCATGGGTATAATAGAAAATTAAGATATGAAGGCACCACTTTTACGGGAAAGTAAAATTTCCTTCTATTTTTTGCAAGAAATATTTTGAGAAAAATTAAACAGTTACGAGAAATTTATTTTTTTAAAAATTTTCTGTTTCAGGCTAACTAAATTCTTAATAAATTTTAAAAAAAATTATTTATTTTCCATTCTATCTACTTCATGCTAACCATAAGAACCCCAATATTAAGTCATTTTTCATTATGAACATAAGATCATTTTCTAATTGAAGACTGTCCGAGGATGACTTGACTTTTCTTCTATAAAAATCACAATTAAATTACACATAAAATGTTATTTATTAGTAGTGTGTTGTCCAATAGGAGTAAATGTTAAAATGACAATTTAAATGAAACCTGTCTAATGGATGAAATTATTAATAATCAATCCAATAAATATCTAACTTTTCCGGCGAACTGGGGTTGTGTCATGGAAGAAGTTGTTTGCTCTCCGTGTGACCACAGCAAGATCGCCGTCGAGAACTCATGGAATGCCACAAATGACCTGGTGGACTCTTTTCAGTTGGTAAGTTAGGTCTTTAATTTTCTGCTATTAGTCATGACAATTGAGAACCAAAAATTACCAGAAGATAATTTTCAGATTAGGTCTATAATACCAAACTTTATCAAGATTTAAAATAATGTTTGTGTCTCATTATTGCAAGAAGCACTTGTGAGAGCGCCAGGAAAAGGCATGATGAGTCCAAGATCACCGGAAAGAGGACGCTGAGGCGGTCTACGGTTATCATATTCCGCAAGGTGTTATTTCGAATTTCAATCGTCACTTTACCGACATGGCATCAAATTTCTCAAATTTTTACCATTTCATAAATTTCAACATGCCATTTTTGTCGTAACTTGACATTCATGAGGAAACTAAACAAACTGGGATATTAATCTTAGAAAAATGCATAACCATTCTATATCAAACCTCATAGAAACTTATATTATATATTGATGTGATATATGTATGCTTCGATTAACCATCACTACTGAGATAGTAGTGATGCCAACTAGAGAGACATTTTTTATTTTGATTTCATAAAGGGTAGTTTTATGCTAATATATATATATATATATATATAAATTGGTTTTTTGCCGAACGATGGAAGTCAAGAGAGTTTTGTGCAATTCGTCCTTAGTTAATATACGCCCTCTCCAATTTTTTGAAGGGAGTCTGTAAAAATAGATTGAATGTAAAGCACATGCTCTCAGTTATCAGTTAAAAATTTCATTAAACAATGAGATTCATATGGTTATTTTGAGAACATAACAAGCATACTCCATTTATTGGGACAACTTCAGCTTTGAATGTGAATCGTTCAAGTTGTATGGGATTTAGGAGCCATCAAATTAACCATCAAGTGCTAATGGCCTTATTACAAGAAACAAACACAACAAATCACTCTGGATAGGCCTCAATGATTGACTGTAAAGCTGGAATTTTGATGATCTTGTAGCGCCCAAACCCTCCATCCTCTAATATCTTTTTCCATTCAGCCTCAGTTCTCTCCTTTCCACCTGAGAAGTGCGATAGCATCACTATATCAAATGCCAACCGTGTCTTGTCAAACAGGCCATCACTCTCCGGTTGCAAAACTATATCAACAATAATAACCTTCCCAGTTTTCTCTGGTATTGCTTTACGGCAGTTTTTCAATATTTTGACACAATCTTCGTCACTCCAGTCATACATAATCCACTGCGATGAAAATACATAATTATTAGTACCATAATCAAAACACATATGTACTTGAATTACATATGAACATTTACTAGCATGTATGACACCCATGTGTGGATTAAACTTTGGGAGAGTGTTTACCTTCATGAAAATTGCATCTGCTTTAGGAATGACCTTAAACATGTCACCTCCGATATGGGTTACACCAGGATGAATTGGGGCAGTGGCAACCACATGTGGCACATCAAAGTTAGTCCCTTTGAGATGTGGATAGGTCTTGACAATCTCGGCAATTGCAGCCCCAGTCCTACCCCCGACATCCACCAGAGATCCAAAGCACCCAAACCCATCTCTATATTCTGATATCACAGCCTTAGTCGTGATCTTGGCTGTACATTCCATGCCACTGTTGAATATTTTGTTGAATTCAGGGTTCACAGATGCAAAATCCCACATGTTACAGCCATGTGCCTTGCTGAATGCAGTACCACCCTCTGTCATGCACTGACTGAGGAAATGCAAAGGGGCTGTTAGCAATGGATGGTTTCGCATTAGCACCAAAGGCGCTGGACTTAGCTCCTCATCACGCAAGAGCCATTTGGAGGAATGAGTGAGGCTGTAGAGAGTCTCTCCGCCATCTCACTGGGGATTAATTTCCTCGAAGAGTTTCATGTGGACTAAGAAATTCATGATGCGTTTGAGGCAGCTCATGTCTAGAGATGGAGCCAATGTCATTGGCAATTTGGGACAGAGTGATGGGACACTTGTGCGAGGCTATTATATCTGCAATGCCAAGTTCCACAGCACAGTTCAAAGCCATGGATTTTACAGAGCTATATATGTATTGCCATATATCAGCTTGGCCTTGTAGCATGGCACCTGCATCCATTAGCTTTTGATTGTCCATTCTCTCTCTGTGCGCCTGTGTTGTGTGTGTATGTTGTGTTACTGTGTGTGTGTCTGTGCATTCTTATATAGCTTGAAATTGATAGAAGGCTCGATTAGATAACAGAATCTAGTTATTGTCACAGAATGATTAAAAGCATGAAATAAACCAACCCGTTCTTTTCTTAGTTAAAAATATACATTTTGATGTATCAAGCTGCTCACAGTGATTGGGTTGGCCTTCTAATTGAAAGGCTCAATCAGATAACAGAATCTAGTTAGTATCACAAAATGATTAAAAGCAACAAATGAAACCAACCCATTGATTTCTCGGTTAAAAATATGCATTTTGATGTATCAAGCTTACAGTGATTAGGTTGGCGTTCTAATTGAAATTATACTATACTAGACTAGCAAAATGAAGAGGGTACAAATTGTGTTTGTCCCAAAACTTGTGTACGTGCTTTTTTTTTTTTTAAAATAAAATTTAATATATGCTTATTTAGTGTTCACTTGGGTGATATTTGAATTTATGTTTAACCTTATTTCTCTAGATTCTGTAACTTAATTTATCTGAAGTTTTCATTCTCTTCTTTGCTTTTAGTCGATTTCTCTTTTCATCCTCTTTAGATATGTTGTGAATTGCCTTGTTTCGTAAACAGCAACATATTTAATTATTTACAGATCCTCCTCCATTTTTTCAATATATTAAGGATCAGCGTAGTGAATGCAAAGCGAAGGCTTGGTATCAAAAGCCTGAGAACAAGTCATTCCGTCATTTGTGAGAGCAAAATTACGTTTGTATCATGGACTCACAATCCCCAAATGGAACAAGCACTGTAATGATATATGAGGAGAGACGACTTCCTTTCATCAGTTGTGGCTTTTGGGTTAGAAGCCACCAACCCAGCCGTGACACTTGTAGCATCAGAGACAAGTCACAGCGCCGAGCAACCAGAAAAACTGGAGAAACCTACCCGCCTCAATAGGCTCTATATCATAGAGTGGCATTGTCGAGTTTTTAATGTTGAAATACTTGGGAAAAAAACTTGAAAGGTGTTCATAAAATGACGTTGAAATATCTGCAGCATAAAACTCTGTGTGTGTTGAGGCAAGGAATTAGAATAAGAGAATGTGTCTCCATAACAACAATTGGATGGTAGGACGGGTTTTCAGTGCCTGGACAAACTGTATCTATTGTACCAAGTGGATTGACATCTTCTTTGTTCATGCTACTTAAACCTCACTCATGTCATGTGGCTGATATGTGTAGGGGATCATACTTACACGATTACAAACATCTCACACACCTCGTCTTCGTTTTTTGGCAAAGGGAAAAATACTACTACTACTAATTTAAACACTACAAAACAAAACACTTTTCAAACGGGCCCTTAGTGAACGGAGAGAGAGAGAGAGAGAGAGAGAGAGAGAGTGTGGAGTACAAAGAAAGGAAAGCCAAGTAGGCCACTCAACATGGAAAGCCTATTTTGCAAGCCTATATAACCAAGCGATCGCCTGTATTAGACAAGTTTAATAAAGGGTTTTTGGTGTTATATGTATGTGAATTGATGATGTTATAGGCCGAACATGAGTCACTTAAAAGAGTAATAGGGCTGGCTACTCAGATTGACATCACGGAATCCTAAAAGTGAATAATGGTGTTGGTTCATATGCATTAACATCATCACTAATTTTACAGGACTCTTAACTCATATGAGATATACAACTGCCAAGAAATAGAAATACATAGTATTATTTTTGATAGGTAGGCACTATTCTTGGTTTAATTTCAACTTTTTATGCAGTGAAGGGAGAAAGTTTGCATTGCAATGCCGGATAGGCCTGCCTTTGCATCAGAATGTATCTTTCTTCTTCACCACCAAATACTTGGTCCCATCATCATAATATATGTATCCTTCTTCACTCATTAATTGTTCATTTTTTGCACTTTTATCCACAGGCGTGCCAGAATCACCCTCAATACGGTCGTATACTCCATTCTAAGTTTCTAAATAACTTAATTTTTTATTTTTCTTGCTTTCTAAATAAATATAGTTTATTGCCGTCAATTTTATCATAGCACCCAATTTGACTTTACTTTTTTTATTTCCAAAATAACACTACAGTATTTTGATGTGAACTTTTAGGAGTAATTCATCAAATTGATTATCTAAAATAATATCCCCTTCATACGATTCTACCCTATAAACTCCGTTTGGGAGCTTCCCAAGGCCTCAAAAAGTCTTCCCAAGCTTCAAAAGTCCTTTTTTTTTTTAAAAAAAAAAAATGTAGTGCTTCGTTTACACATACTAGCCGATGATGGGGAAATCCATTTCAATGCCTTTTTACTAATTTGTCTGTGTACATCTCATAAATTAACAAGATTGTCCTATATTCTTTCTGATCCTTTATTCTTCCACGGCACCTTCAACCACCACCACTGTCATCTTCCACCACTGCCACCACCTTTTATCGTTTCTGTTGCCACTACCACCACATTTTGCCACCATCTTCTACCCCCGTCACTAACAAATCCTTTGTAAAAGGGTCTTATCAAAGAATGCCTTTTTATATTTGAAAGTTTCTCCAAACAAGTTTTTCACCGATTTTCTTAGATACTACTTCCTAGTCTCAAATATTTTGGGCTAACAATATTAATCACTCAAATAAATCACAAGACAATAAACAAATACATTAAACAAAATAAATAAAAATAATGATATCCGTTCATACTTCTAACAATAAAATTATTAAGTTTATTGATCTCACTTTAATAATCAATAACCTTAATTGTTTCACTATGAAAAGTATGGTTGAGAATTATTTTTCAATAAATAATCCAAAAAAAAAAAAAAAATGCAAACAAGAGGTATCAAAGATTTATGTGGGAAACATTTCACTCTTATGCGTGGAGGGTATCACGAGACAATAATCTTTTATCACTTAAAAAAATCAATCAATACAAACTACTATAAAAATTAATAATTCCAACTTTTACTATAAAAAATTATTTCAAACTACTATATGAGATCTTGTCTGACAAATTATTTCGAACAACTATATGAGATCTTGTCTGACAATATAAAATAAATCGAATAGTGGCAAACCTGCAAAACAAAATATCGCCTTTGTCACTTACCGAATTTTAACACTGCTTTCTTTTTTTCTTTCCACGTTGCACTGTTCCCCGCTGAATGTTTTTTCTTCCCTTCCTCCTGTTGCCGCCACATGGTAAAATACCCAAATGCCCACAAGACAAGCAGTGCTATTTTTTTCTCGTCTTGCTATACACGCCTCTTCAGGTCACTTCCCAAAACAGACCCACATTGATTTTTATTTAGGAAAAATTACATATAAATGGAGTCAAAGTTTCATATTTATTTAGAGCTGAGTCAAAATTTCATATTTCTCTAAAATGAATTGCTGAGGTGGCACATGATTTTTTACTGTTAAAAAATTGTGGTGCCTAAAATACCCTTCCGCGAAGGTACTACTTTTTCTTGGAAGGTACTACTTTTTTGAACTGAAGATATTACTTTTTGGTGTCCAGATACCATATTTTTTAAACACCCGCGAAGGTACTACTTTTTTGAACGGAAGGTACTACTTTTTTGTTAGGGAAGGGCATTTTATGCACCACAATTTTCTAAACAGTAAAAAATCATGTGCCACCTCAGCAATCCATTTTAGAGTAATATGGAACTTTGACTCAATCTCTAAGTAAATATGGAATTTTAACTCCATTTATATGTAGTTTTCCCTTTTATTTTACTTTAACACTCCAACCATGGTAGAGGTTCACTGAAAGTCACATCAGAGAGGGAGTAAGAGCAAATTCGAGTGCAAAAAAATAAAAATAATAAAATTAAGTCACAAATAATAATAATTGAAACCAAAGTATAAACGCAGAGTGTAAGAATTAAAACAGTACTCATCGAAAATAATTGAGTGACTCAAGGTTCATGAATTCAAAAGAGCCAGGCTGGCCGGAACAGATTCGTGCTTTGGCACTTAGCGGACTTACAACTCTGATCTAAATCTCCATAGCAACTTGCCACCATGTCTCCCATAACGAAAGGTAACTATTTTTTAATATGTGATTCTGGTCAATTGACGACATCTCAACAAAAGTCTCGCTCTAGATCGATCATTGGGGGCTGTGTCAATCTCATTGTAACCGTGACTGGCTCAACCACCAAAGTATTAACTATGGCTTCAATTGAAGAGCACCATATAGATAAGGTTAATTGTACTTCGCTTATTTTAGGTTTTCCTCATTAACTAATAAAAATATGTTGAATGTAAAGCGCATACTCTTTGTTATGATCAGTTTAAAATTTTTATTCAACAGTGCGTGAGATTCATATTGGTACTATGAGAACACAAGCATACCCCATTTCTTGGAACAATTTCAACTTTGAATGTAAATGGTTTAAGTTGGATGGTATCGATTAGAATGAAGCCATCAAGTACTAATTAACGAGGCGTTATTACAAGAAAACACACACACACACACAATCAATCACTCTGGGTAGGCCTCAATGATGGACTGTAAAGCTGGAATTTTGATGATCTTGTACCTCCCAAACCCTCCTCCTTCTAATACCCTTTTCCATTCAGCCTCAGTCCTCTCCTTCCCACTCGAGAAGTGCGCGAGCATCACTATATCAAATGCCATCCCTGTCTTGTCAAATTGGCCATCACCCTCTGCTTGCAAAACTATATCAACAATAATAACCTTCCCTGTTTCCTTTGGTATTGCTCTCCGGCAGTTTTTCAATATTTTGATACAATCTTCGTCACTCCAGTCATGCATAATCCACTGCGCGCATTCTAATTATTAGTACCATAATCAAACCACATATATATGAACAAATTAAAATACTTGCATGTATAAAACCCATGATATGTGTGGATTAATTAATTATGCTTTGGGAGAGTGTTTACTACTTACCTTCATGAAAATTGCATCTGCTTTAGGAATGGCCTTAAACATGTCACCTCCAATATGGGCTACAACAGGATGAATTGGTGCAGTGGCAACCACATGTGGCAAATCAAAGTTAGTCCCTTTGATATGTGGATAGGTCTTGACAATCTCAGCAATTGCAGCCCCAGTCCCACCCCCAACATCCACTAGAGATCCAAAGCACCCGAACCCATCTCTGTATTCTGATATCACAGCCTTAGTCGTGATCTTGGCTGTACATTCCATGCCACTGTTGAATATTTTGTTGAATTCAGAGTTCACGGATGCAAAATCCCACATGTCACGGCCATGTGCCTTGTGGAATGCAGTACCGCCCTGTGTCACGCATTGACTGAGGAAATGCAAAGGGGCTGTTAGCAATGGATGGTTTCGCATTAGCACCAAAGGCGCTAGACTTAGCTCGGCATCACGCAAGAGCCATCTAGAGGAATTAGTGAGGCCGTAGAGAGTCTCTCGGCCGTCAAGCTGGGGACTAATTGCGTCGAAGAGTTTCATGTGGACTAGGAAATTCATGATGCGTGTGAGGCAGTGAATGTCTAGAGATGGGGAGCCAATGTCATTGGCAATTTGGGACAAAGTGATGGGACAATTGTGGGAGGCTATTATGTCTGCAATGCCAAGTTCCACAGCACAGTTCAAAGCCATGGATTTTACAGAGCTATATATGTGCTGCCATATTTCTCCTTGGCCTTGCAGCAGATAGTCTGCATCTATTTGCTTTTGATTTTCCATTCTCTCTTGTGCGCTTTTGTGTGTGTGTTTGCGTTGTTAGAGTTGCGAATGTGTCTGCCTGCGTCCAAGATATTAATAAGCAAATAAAATAAGGAATAATTACACTCATCTCTCCAAAAATTTTGTCAACCTACATTAACCTCCTTTCTTATTTGTCAAATTACAAGGACCTTCCCTCTTTGATGGATGACATTAATAGTTCTGTCAAAATTACTTTTTTACCCTTATTATATCTCTATTGTATTTTATTATAAATACAATAAATTTTGAAAAGACAAAAAAGCCCAAGAGAGACCAGACCCATTTCAGTTTGAGAGAGGATGGTTGCGGGTCTGCAACAAGAGTATCCAACTCTGCAATTTCCTCGTCAAAAGCTTGTTTAGCCAAATGGCAGGTTTGCATGTTCAACGAACAAAATAAATCATGAAGTATTATAACATCTAACAGTATAGAGAGAGTGTTTATGTCTTCTCTCTCCTCTTATCGGATGAGACGTCCGTGGCGCGGCATTTAAGACCAACAGGTCTCCAATTCGAAATTAAAGAAAAGATTGGTGAACCTTAAGAGAAAATCATAAGAAAAAAAGATTAATTTTTCTCTTCACTCTGTTTCTATGGTACTGTGGGAAGGAAAAAGGAGAAGTGAAGCACACGAATTCACTGCTGCCTCTCTTGAGCTCCGATTTCGGCGGGAGAGTTGCCATCTCTGGTTGTCGGCAAGTAATGGGTTTGCATCTCTTGTGGTTGGCCACCGAATTGTGGATGAGGATGATGGAGTTAGAGAAAGAAGAGAGGGGTTCGAGGCTGTTGGTTGCAATTGTAATTTTTTTTGGGGGATAATAATAGTATTCTGATTCATTATAGTAAAAATGGACAGAGTATTGTTTTAATTTTTTTTATCTGAACAAGGATACAAGGAAAACAGGGGGAATCCCAAAACAGAGCAACCCAAAAGGAACAACATCATCACCCATGAAGAAGATAAAGGTCATTCTCAATAACAGAGAGGAGCAAACCAGGCCAAAAATCCCAATACAAATATGAAGATCGAAAGCTGAGGGAGAATCGGCTGATAGCATGAGCCACTGCATTACAAGAACAAGGAGCCCACATAAGAGAGCAATCCACCAAAGAGCCCAGAAGAGAGTAAATATCATCAAACATATTCACTAGGAAAGAGGACTCAGGGGAGAGGGACATAACAGACAAACAGTCACCCTCAACATCAACATTATTGAAACCCAAACACGCAAAAGGGAGAGACAATCTCTAAGGATCATAGCTTCAGCCATTTCAGCAGACCCAATGTTAGGCTTAAAGAAGGAAACGACTTTCAGAGGGTAGCCGGAGGAATCTCAGAGGATGAGGCCCCCTCCGCACGCTCGAAAACCCGTAGAGAAAGAAGTATCACAGTTCAATTTTAAGCGCCCCGCAGCAGGAGGAAACCAGTAAGAAGGAACAGGGGCTCGAGACATCGGTTGAGGGGAAAACAGAGCTTGTTGAGACCCAATCTCGGCAAACTCTTGAAAAGATGAGATAGCCTTGCTGACCACGTCTAAGACAACACGCTTAAGGCTCTTAAAATGAAGGTCATTCCGAGCCTTCCAAATATGCCAGCAGATGGAGCACCCCAAACTACACAAGTCTTTGAAAAAATGGCTTAGTTTCCAACCAGACACCAGAGAAAACCAAATATGGGACCAAGACCCATTTTCAGACTCTGTGAAAACAGCGTGCAGCGGGGAAGCTTTCCACACCATACGGGAAAAAGGGCAAGTGAAAATCAAGTGAGAGACTAATTCCGTAAAGAGGCCACACTAAAGACAAGTAGAATCAGCCACCACCTTGCGAGAACGAAGCTTTGAAAGGGTTAGAATCCGCTCATGACAACATTGCCAAAGGAAGAAAAGAAATTTGCGGGGAGCTTGAATCTTCCAAATGGACTTCCACAGGGACAACTGCTCTTGAGCATGGCTGGATGAGGGAGTGTGAGAGGCATTGACCTCTCGGAGAGACCTTGCAAGCTTGTAAGCAGACTAAACCGAAAAGGTACCATTTGGAGAGGGGAACCAAAACCGGCGGTCCGGAACGCCTGACAACCCAAGAGGGATCTGAAAAATGAGATTGGAATCCCTGAAGTTAAGGTGCTGACGGATCAAAACACGGTTCCAAGAGCGAGTGTTATGATCAATGAGCTCTTCGACCTTCTGCAAAGAGGGATGCACAAAAAGAGAAGAAATAAAAGGTTTTGAGGGGTCCGACAGCCAATTATCAGTTCGAATATTAATATCAGCACCATTGCCCACCCTCCAAGCAATACCTTTTTTTATAAGAGTTTTGGTTGTTGAAATACCTCGCCAGCCGCAAGAAGCATTGACTGGACATGACAAATTGAGAAAAGGTTGGTTACAAAAGTACTTTTGCTTGAACATAGTAAAGAACAGAGATTGATCATTCAAACTCTCACCCATTTCCATACGCCAACCAAACCTTGCCAAAAGGGCGAGGTTGAAATCCTCTAAGTCTTGAAAACCCAACCCGCTATGATTTTTAGGACGGCATAAAACATTTCAAGTGACCCAGTTAATTGGGTGACCTTTATCTTTACTTGACCATTAAAAAATTCGAAAATAACTAGTGATTTCCTCGGTAATGTAAGAGGGGATTTTGAAGAACTGGAGGGCATAGGTAGGGAGAGCCGCTAGAACTGATTTAAGCATCGCCTCCCGACCAGCCCGCTAAAGCATGTGACCTTTCATAGATTTCACCTTAGCCACCAATCTCTCCTTCATAAATGTAAATGCTTCCGCTTTAGAGTAATGGATAAGAGATGGGATACCTAAATACTTGTTAACCCAATTAGAAGGTTGAATGCGCATAATTCTACATAAAGAGAGGCACAAGGAAGGGTCAGTGTTCTTACTGAAAAAAGCACGAGATTTGGAGAAATTAACTCTCTAACCTGAAATGGAAGAGAAAAAATCAAGAATATCCATGAGCTTGGAGACCTTATACTCTTTAACCTTACAAAACAGGATAACGTCATCCGCGAAAAGCATATGGCTAACTTTGGGAACTGATTGGCCAATCTGAATCCCATGAATGGACTCAACGCTTTCAGCATGCTTTAACAATAGGCTTAGGCCCTCTGCACACAGAAGAAAGAGGAATGGAGATAAGGGATCACCTTGGCGCATACCCCGTGAGGGTTGAAAACATCAACCTGTTTCGCCGTTGATAACAACAGAAAACGAAACCGAGGAAACACAAGACATAATAATAGAGCACCATTTGTGGTGGAAACCAAAACCTTGAAGCATGCCTTCAAGGAAACTCCATTCAATGCGATCATAGGCTTTCTCCATGTCCAGCTTGAAAACGAGGAATCCCCTTTTGCCACTCGACTTGGATTTAAGATAGTGCAGAAATTCATGGACCAGGAGGATATTTTCATGAATAATTATGTTAGGCACGAAAGCTAATTGATGATCCGAAATGAGGAACTTCATGAGGGGCCGAAGGCGGTTAGCAAAAGCCTTAGAGAAAAATTTATATATGACATTGCAGAGGCTAATTGGCCGGAAATGAGACATTTTAGTAAGATGTTTTACCTTAGGGATAAGCACAAGGTTTGTATGATTAATGCTACGGAGCATGTGGCCGAAATCGAGGAAAGCATTGAAACCATTAAGAAGATCAGCTTTAACGATATCCCAGTTGCGTTGAAAGAAAAGAGGGGTGAACCCATCAGGGCCTGGAGCTTTAAAAGGGCCCATGGAAGATTAAGCCTAATTATTTTAGTGCATGCTATATTCTACTTTCAACACAATCATTATTTGAGTAATGAAATCTAATTATTCATGAATTAGAATGAAAATTCCACCACCAAACATCATAATGAAAACCCAATTTGCAAAGCAATGATTCCACCTCTTCAAGAAGTGTTTTGATTCCACCATCAGACATCATAACTAAAATCAAAGTTTGAATTTCAAGATTCGAACATGAGGGGAGAGGAGAAATAATTATATGGGTATTTTTGATATTTTAATTGCTTTATTTACATGGCTTGCAAGGGTTGAATAGGAATTTGTGAATTAAAAATTGCTGAAATCATCTTTTTCCGTTAGTAACAATGTTTTTTGTTAATGGAAGGGAGGTCCATGTTATCAATATACAAATCTCGAAGGAGGTAAGTGTTATTTGACAAACAAGTACGGTAGGTTAGTGTAATTATTCCATAAAATAATGTTGATAGCAAAAGTAAGAAGAAAGAATAAAAAATAGAGGAATGCTGTCAAGACTCAAGAATGCTCTCTAGCGGGAAAAGTTATGAGTCCTAAGCATTTAATCACTGAAATAATTTTTTGAGATATGGGAAAATTCAAATGAATCATTTAATACATTTTTTTAATTTATTAGTTAAAATGAAGAGTTTACAATGAGAGAGCTCTATTGAAAGTGTTACTTTAAAAAAATATATGTTAATGAGTAATGCTATGAGTACTCTATTAACACTTGTAATGTTGACGTAATGCGGCAGACAAATTACAAACACTCCATCAAAGCAAATCAGATTTACGATCAAGAGCGGATTTATGTGTACGCTCAAAATTTTTTTTTTTTTTTTTTTTTTTTATAGGTAATTTTAGTCCAGCCAAAAAAGAAAAAAATATTACTAGTATTAGCTCACAAAACAAATATTAACCCACTCCATTAACAATTCTTGGATCCGCCCTTATCTACAATAAAACTAAAAAATAGATATATGTATTTTGATGGAATGTTTGTAGTTGTATGTTGCACCACGTTGTTGCACGTTATCGTTGCAACGATTGTAATAAATTAATTTTTCACACTAACCATATTTAATTATTGCATATTTAAATTTTCAATTGAAAGATATATTAAAGGAAATCTGTAGAATCTAATATTTATTCTGGTTAACACATCATAAGTTACATTTTCCTATCTAATGTTCTGGTTTGGTTTGTTTTTGTCTTCTGCAAGTGATCAACATATTTCTGCAAGTTTTTTTTTTTACTTTCCTCCCAACCAAATATCATTATCTTTTAATCTAAGAACTTGGCCAATGTAAGCAACTTTTGCTACAAGGAAATATACAGAACTTATTTTTCTTATTTCAAGTGTGATTTTTACACCTTTTACTAACTTTTTTCTTCTATTAATCTACCTGTTGTATAGAAATATTCATCTCATACCAAAATAAAACCCATGCTGCTGCAGTTAAGTGAACCTACAAGAAGACATTAGAAAATAATTGGTGAGCCAATCCATCCATCTGTAGACGAGAGAAATTAGGAACCTACAAGAGCAGCCTTTATCATGATATGATTAGAAGCATTATTCAATCTATAATTTCACTCATCGGCTACTGCTTGTAACAAAGAGTTTATCAATTCTAGCTCAACACCATTAATGCTATAACTCCATTCCATCGTGCACATTTCAGCCCTGGAACCATCAAATTTGGCGTCGTGTACAAACAACCCACATTTGAAAAGTCACAACAGATCTTCGACCTCTCAAGTTAGCAATCGGCTTGGAGCTGCTCAAGTTCATAGCAAAAATGTTCCGTGGATTTCCAAAACAAGCTAATGAGCAAAACTAGTGGTACATCAGGTTGTAAGCCGGTAAACCTCGTATTTGACGAACGTCTTCTAGAGATAGTTCTCTCTCCAATTGTGTTCTTGTTACTTGTAGAACTTCCTAAGAAAAGTAATTGGCAAATCATCAGTTTATTCGGAAACCAATTCCAAGTTTGATTTCACAACTGACAAAAGAGAAAATTCGTTCTAGTAATTTGGAAAGACAATATTTCCACTACTCTTGTTTGGCTTGACCATATACTTGCATTTGGCAGGACAGCAACACATATATCACAGTCCATGCTGATGGCAGGTATTGTTTTGCCATTACTCTATGCCAACAAAATTATTAACAGTATGAATGGAGCCTTTTGTTCACTCTGGTTGCCAACAAGATTAGGGAAAAAAAAGAAGCAATATATGGGATGCCATGCTTATTGTAAACACATGAAGCTTTTTAAAAATAAAAAAATAAAAAACAATACAAAAGCTTCTTTTTAAAAAAAAATGAAAAAGAAATAATTGTCATATGCATGAGAGAGAGAGAGAGAGAGAGAGAGGGATTACGTTAAACTCCATGTACGAAGCACTCATAGCAAGCCACTGAGCATCCATCAACTCATAAGCTATACAGTATAGAACATCAAAGGCTTCTTCGTCCTCTGCAGTTACGTAAATTCGAAGTTCCTTTAGCAAGAACACAAAGTATCCTGAATAAAAACATTTCTGGTTTAAACCAGTGGGAAAACTAGTACTTTACCTCCTAATAATCTAACAAAATTGATTCCTGGAAGACATTTTGGTTTCTCTGCAAATGAAGAGAAAAACGTTAATAAGCATTAACATTTTCTTTTAGTTTATATTCTATAATTTTTCAATCCAATTACCATGGAACAAAATATATGTATATTTAAACTAGATTGAACCACCGGTAACATAAATGAGAAAAAGAGCTCAAATTGTGACAATGTTTTGGTCACCAGGGACAAGGCCAGAAATATTCATTTTAGGGGGTCAAACTAGTGATATACAAATAAAATAAAATAGCTGTAGCAAATTTTCTTTGGGGAGAAGAAAATATGGAGAGAATAACAATTGACAGCCTATAAATCAGGTAGTCAAGTGTCAAGTATTCTTTTTTCTTCTCTCTTGAATTCATAATATAACAAATAACATACATACATATGTATATAGACAGATATGAATAGAGTATTAATATATTGTAGTAAGGATTACAATGATAATTAACATTTAACAAAAACACTAGATTCAAGTTTTAAAAGTAAGACTAAAAAGGTTCATTGGACTTTGAAGGGCCACAAGTGATTTCTTCACCTTTAATTTTCCTATATAAAATCACCATTAATAACCATAAATAAGTACAATAAATAGAATTTTGAGAAAAATACAATAAAAAATTTGACCCCCCGTTGGTACTGTTATGATATACCTTCAAAAGAACATAAAAATGACAGGCTCAAGAATTAAAATAATTCCGATTGAAAAGATAATGGAGCAATTTGACACCTTTTAGAAACGACATTATGTGATAGTGCTTGAATATGCAATTTCTCTATTCAAGTTATCAGCAAAATTAACAAATGATGTGATATAGAGATCATAAGAAGTGACAATACAACGTCAGTTAAATGCTATGAAGGCAGAGACACTAATATTGATAAGCATTAGAGCTAAAGATGATATAATTTTATTTTCATTTCGTGCCATATGCCTCTTTTTGGTATGGCATCTGAACAATCCCTATCTAAACCAGTCGGTATGGCATCAGACAATATATATACTCGACAAACCTGAGTGCAAATCCAGCATCTGAATCAACATGAATGATACATTAATGCCAGCAACAGCAAATGGATATTCCCATGTTGCTCGCTTCCCACCTTGCTTGAACAATAACCTATGAAAAGAAGCCTTCATTTTGAATTTTTATATTATCAGTAATAACCCATCTTTTACATAACTTTAGACTTGCATAGATTAAAGATAAACGTAAAGAATATAGGTGCTAAGAGAAAATATCAAAGCAACATAAAACTTAGAAAGAAGAAATGAAGCATCCCAAGGACTCTTTGGAGAAGTCATACCGGATAAGTCCTTGCGTGAAACAGCAAATTCTCAAGCGAAATAAAACCACAACCCCTAAGAAAAAATAGGACATCTTAATGAGACAGAATACTTCTAAATATTGAGAACGTAAAGAAAAAATGAAAATAAACAAAGCGGTAATTATTCATATTACTTCTACCTCTCATATTCTTGCGTGCATCAGATTCACCAATTCTTTTTTATCTTAGGGTCAATTTGGACATCTATGAAGATGACATTTTTCCATTTGTTTCTGCTAGGAAATGTGATGTAAAATGAATCACAGAATAACTAGACAATCCAATTATTAATGTTATTTAAAGACCAGCTTTCCATTGCTTTGATTTTGATCACATGATAAGGTTCCTTTGAAATGACTCTGAACCTTCATAACCAAACAGCCCCTAGCGTTTGAAATCACTGGATTGTTTAGTAACCACCCAATGGCTACTATTTTGAGTTGGGTCGCTCGTTTGGGATGTGCTTGATATGCATGGGTTTGAAATCCAAATGCTTTCTGGGCTCCTTTGTATTTTGCTCTAATATGGGTTTTTGTTTTGTCTTGGTTATAAATGAGTGAGCTTGTCCACTAGCAAAATGTTCAGTGGACCGATCCACCGGCTATATCCAAGTCCATATGTAATTATTACTTATACACATATATACAATCATCTTAACTTCCAAGAAATAAAAAATAAAATAAAATAAATAAAACAGCCCCTAGCATTTGAAGCACAAATCAGTTCTCAGAAAGGAGGTATTAATGAAATAGATCATTACAACAAAGGTTTTTTAAGAAACAAGGCACCAGCTTTTGATGAAATAACCAGACCAAATCAAACTCATTTCAGCATCAGGAAAGCAAAATCTACTGTCAACAAAACCATGTAAAAACAACTGAATAAATCAGAAACCTCAAATATGATATGATTGCAGCCTAATAGACAACTTAAACCACCTTATTTCCCGACAGTTTATCAATCTTATTTGGATAGGGGCCAGCAAAACTAATTCGAGTTAGCATTTCGGGTTACAGATGGTACCTAAAGTCAGTTGATGGATTAGGGCCTTGCCAACCCATATCTTTCCATTGCTCAGAGATCAAACCATCAAGAGCAACATCTGGAAAGGCTGAATGCCACAATACTCTAAGAGCTTCCTGTCAAAAGGAGTGAATGCTGAAATCAAGTAATGCAAAAATCTGGTAAGCAGAGTAAAATGCTGCAAATCCTTTGGAAAGTCAGTTTCCAAAGGGGGAAAAAAAGGAATTAAAAGATAAAATTTAGGGACGAAAAAGTCACTAAACTGGGTCAATAAGTTGCTGTCCAAAGACTGCAGCTAAAATTTACACTAAGAGCCAATAAGTTGCTGTTCTGTAAGAAAATATATATCACGGTCATATAATAACTGTTATATCTATAGTTCTATACTTATTAAACAGTTCAAGCTTCTTGGTGAAAATTTAGAGGGAAAGTCCATGTTTAGCAACTAATTGAGTCACCCAAGTGTACATAATATTCATCAAATTTCAACAACAATAACAACCACCAAGCCTTTTCCCAATTATTTGGGGTCAGCTACATAAAACCCATGTTTCCATTCCGCTCTATTTAAGGCCATAGCCTCAGTCAATCCACATGCTATCATATCTTTCTTTACATTTATCAGATTTCAAGCAAGACAGAAATGTGAATGTTCAAATTGAAAAAAACAATTGAGCAAAAGCGTGGAGGGAGTACTTGATGATCAAGGCGAGTCTCATCAAAAGGTACTTGTAATCGTTCTTGAAGCCTTTGTAGTCTTTCTTTCTGCTAGGAAGTAATAGAAAAAAAAGTTACGTAGGGCTGACCAATTATAGCCATGTCAATAAAACAACCATTTTATCCACAGAATGTGAACCACTTAAACACAAAATAAATTCCCAAAGTTCTTTCAATTTGATGATTTCTGACTAAAACTTTCAAAGAAAACCCAATAGAAGGCTCACAGAAGCAGAATCAGAATCAGATGCATGTAACAATAAGAAAAATATCGCAACCTATATGATGTATGTCTACAAATTATATATACTGAGAGAGAGAGAGAGAGAAGAAAAATGAAAGATATATAATCGAATGCAGCAAGCCCATGACTTGTTAAAATGCCCAATTTACCTGAAGAGAAGTCAAAGGTAAATCAGTAATTTTTCCACTTCCAGAATGTTTATTGCCTGAGCGGCTAAAGATTCCCACTATCCATGATCGTGCTCCAACCATAGCATTAGCTACACCCACCAAATACTGAACAATGAATTATACACAATGTGTTTGGACAGGGAAAATAGGGCAGTAGCTATTGTCAGCAGAAACAGAAGCAAAAAGAAGGCAATATCAATTATTACACCAGGGGTTATTCTATCAAGGGGTGCATTCTTTTTACCTGAAAACATTCTTATTATGCTATGTAAGAATACAACCCAAACCAAACCCAACAAACCCCAACACACCACCCCCCCCCCCCCCCCCCCACACACACACACAAAATCAAAACAGCATTACTATTCAGTGGTTTTAACTGATTAAAATATATCAATGAAGTAATTGCTATGCAAGTGTTGTATTTATAAGATAGAGTTTTTAACTTATGTCGCATAATTTTGCATTTTTTTTTTTAGCAACTTCTATCAACTCGTGGACACTCTTAATCCTCTTCTGCTCTACTACTATCTATCTCTTGTTCATTTGGTGGTATTTTCAGTCTTTGCCCTTATAAATTATCAACATGGCAAGGCCCATGCTGCAACTGTAAGTATGTATGTTAAACTTAAATAAGAGACCATGTCATTAGGCTACCAATTGGATTTTTGAAACATCTCAAGCGCTTAAATTTATATTGTTGTTTCTAGAATATGGGTAATTGAGGATTCAAGCTTCGGAAGTCAATGAATAAGGTCAGCTCTGAAGACGTGTAACTATTGAAAGCTTTTCTGCAAAATCCACAACTTAAAAGAGCTTTTTTTTTTCTTTTTCTTTTTTTTTTTTTTTTTTTTTTTTTTTTGTCTTTTTGCTAGTAATTCCATCATTCAATTAACAGACCTTTAGTCATCAGACTCACCACTCAGTCAATTAATGCAGAAAAACTGGATTGAACCCTAATTATTTGTAAAATATGGAGCGATCTCAAATCTCATGCAGAAACTTGTGGGACTAAACTCTAGGAATTTTGGAATAATCCATTATTAACCAATCAGTCAAACATCAATCCTATAAAATGTCTGATTTTAACCCAAATTGGTACCACTGTAAGCAATTAGTTCATTAATATCTTTGAAAAGGTTATATCGTTAATGTATTTTTGTTTATACCAGGACACTGGGATTATGCAAGTGTATATGATTATGTGAGCGTATATGGATAATAGGGTCAAGTGCAGAAAAACAGCCCTAATGTATACTTTGCGTAGCACTTTCATCCCCTATTTGAAAAAGTGTGCTAAAAACACCCCTATCCTTTTAAAATTGTGCAGAAACACCCCTCAATCAGAAATTTGACATAAAGTAATGCTGTAATACCCGTTTTGCCCTTTTACTCTTCTGAAAATTCCCAAGGGGGTGTGTATGCTAATTATCTCATAGCATAGGGGTGTTATGTGCACAATAACTATATTTAACCCACTTTTAAGGACTCTCTCACCTTTTCGGAAAAAAATTTATCTCCATATATTTCCGCTAACAATGTATTATCTCTCTTAAAAAAAATTAAAAAATTTGTTGTCACGATTGTCAGATTAATGTACAGTATATCATACGGAATGAAAACTTTAGTTCCTTTTATAATATAAAAAAGAAAAAAATATATATTCTCAATTAAATTTTAATATAGTTATTCGTTTTTATTAAATATATAATAAAAAAGTAAATCAAAGATACTTATTCATTATATATAAACAATATACATTTAATTTTTTAAACTCTAGAATTTGCAATAAATTTTCACAAATATATATATATATATATATATATAATTCTTTACATAGCAACAAATTGGTAAACAATCTTTATTGGGGGAAAAAAAAAAAAACAAAAAACAAAAAATGGGTGTTCAATTGTCTTCCGTCATTAAACTATTCAAATCGCGATAAAACTATGTTCTCAATTAAATCTAACAGTTAAGATCAAAAGATTCAAAACAACAATAGTCTATAAAGTGCAGAAAACACCCCTATAATATGCTTACAATGCGTATCACACCCCTCATGAACTAAATGACCATTTTCATCATTTCATAAAATGATGCATTTTTAAATAATATATAAAATGTGTACATGAGGGCAATTTAGTCAAACTATAACTTAAATGTGTTAGGAGGGACCTATTTGCACCAAATTGAAATTTAAGAAAGTTTTATGCACATAAGGGGTGTGATACGCATTGTAAACATACTATAGGAGTGTTTTCTGCACTTGACCCTAGAAAATACATCAAAGGAGTCAGATGTGCAAATAAGTAGTTAGCAGAAATGCAGTCTTTTTGCCTATGTATAATTTCATCTCCAAGCCAGTGATATTTCTAGGTTTATTATAACATCTCTTCCCATTTAATTAACATTCATTAGCAGTGCTACTGCAAAATATAAATTAGCTGCATGCTAATAGAAGTCATGTGCTTTTTTAATCGGCTTAATTGCAAAAACTCCTCTGTACTATAAAAGTTTGCACTTTTTTTTCTTTTTCTTTTTCAAATGATCAAGCAAATTATATAGATAAGAGTAAAAGAACATAAATGAGAATGTTCCCCCCTACAATGAAATTTGGCCCCTCAACTATCAAAAAAAGTTGCAAGATACCTCCCTTCGGAGGGAGTACCTGTAATAATTTTTGTTAGTTGAAGGCGGTGATATGTTATATCTTTAGTTCAAGGGGGCAACTTGCCCAAACTTGTTTAGTATAGGGAAATTTTGGCAATCAACCCGGTTTAATTAACTGTGGGATTAAAATTAAGGGAAGAAACTACTCACTATTATGCCAATACCTTAATAGTAAAAGAAAGAGTGCAAGGTGAATCCAAATATAAGAAATTAAACACGCAAAGAAAGATATCAAAAGCAAAATATAAAATAACAAAAGTTCTATAAAGGGTATCAAGAATTTCTACTCACTAAAACATTGAGCTAACTGTGATATTACGTGAGCAGAATTATACGACCATGCCAACTCTTCATCAACCCTCTCTTGTCTCCAATAAACTTCATCATCATCAGCCTGAATTTGAAAGCCGTACAAAGTAATTGCACAACTCAGGTGCTACACACTATATGGTGAACCAATAGAATCATAAATAGTATTCATTTCTTTCTTTTAACTTTTTATTAAAAAGAAAAAGAATAAATGATTTCGTCAAATGTTATAGTATCCAGATTTGTTTAGAATAACAATCAGCAATCACTTATTATAAAAACACATTTATGAACATAATAGAAACACAACAGTGATTTCAGAACATAAACATGGAGTAAAACTGAAATCAGGACAAAATAGTATGAGTACTGAACTTCTACTAAAGTATGCAGAGCAGCACAGGAGCTCATATGAATTATACACAACGTGTTTGGACAGGGAAAATATACCAGTAGCTATTGTCAGCAGAAATGGAAGCAAAAGCAAGGTAATATCAATTATTACACCAGAGGAGTTATTATATCAAAGGGTGCATTGACATTATAGATTGGGGTGAAGAACATATATTGTGTTAATGGCACTTGTACGGGGTGGGTTCTAAAACCAAGCGATGTCAATTTATAGAGCAATGTTTAATTTAGTCACAGAGTGAAAAAGCTCATAAAGGTTTTTCACACCAAAAGGCTTAGTTATATCAGACTATCACATATGCAAAAGAATAATAAAAGTCCAGTGGGGACAAGCTGTGAACTAATGTGTAGCTCCAAATCATCAATGCTACAAAAATTAAATTGAAATTTGAATTGATTCTCATAAAAAAAAACACAAGGATGTATGAAGAAATTGGAGAAGGCAAAGGTTAAGGTTTAACTCCGCGAAGAGAAGAGCAAGAGGGAATGCATTGTCTATTCCTTAATTTCATCGGAGGCAAAATGAAAGGCAATAGATTCACCCATTTTCTCTCATCCAAGGGGAATAGATAAAAAGTAACATGATGATGAAAAAGCAAAACCAATGATTGCACCAGCCCATGCTTTGCTCCTATAATTCAACCTTCCATTGTTTCAATTTTCCCTCTCTCTCTCTCTAACTCACTTTCCAGCCAGGAGATAGAGAGAGAGAGAGAGAGAGAGAGAGAGAGAGAGGTAGGCAAAACCTAAATTTCAAAACCCCATAAGGGAAAGTTTAACAGCGCAATCAAAGGGATCTGTTTTTACCTAAACATTATTGCAAAGAAAAGTTTAGGGCAGAAGGCATGAAAATTTGAGTTTCCTCTCTGCATAACACCCGAGACGGACAGACCCATATTCATGATTCATTGATAAAGCTAGAGAGAGAAACAAATAAAAGAAAAAGTTACCTATTATGGCATATTGTTGTTGTTGTTGTTGAGATGTGAGTGAGGCCCTCTCGAGGAAAGTGGAAGAAGATGAAGAAGAAGGGCATCCTCTGTGAATTATTGGGATTTGGAATGAAAAAATGGGCAAAACACTCAGACCCTCACACAGATAGACTCTGGTCTTCTGGCATTGCCTTCCAATCTAGCCGTGTAGCTAAAAGGACGCCTAAACAGTAGCGCGCGCTCTCTGTGTTTTTTTATTTTATATTTCGGAATGTGCTATATCTCTGTGTGTGTGTTTGTGTGTGTGTTGTCCATCTAAATTGTGGTCAATGCATTTCTTTAATTGCATGTTCTAATTTGGACATATTAACCCCAATTCAATATGAACTCATTTGTATTTTGACTCTCTGTTTTTTTTTTTTTTTTTTTGTCAGAGATATCCTTATTTTTGTTACTCTTTTACATTTAATTTTAAGAATTTTTATGAATTAGATAATCCAATCTCTTTTAAAATTTGGACAAATTACACATCATACAAAGTTGTATTTGACCTTATTGATTCATCAACCATCAAAAAGTGGTTTTGAGTCTAAAAAATAGATAATGTTTATATATTAATATAATATTTTATATTATATTTTATAGGTAAAATTATTATTTTATAAAATTTAATCAGTCAAAAAGAAGGCTTTAGAAGTGTCTTTCGAGTAGATCAAAATAATAACGTTAGTGTATAATTTGTTTGAAAAAGATTAGTATAATATACTCTAATTTTTAGTTTTCACTCCCCAGTTAAATTGGAAACATGATTTTTAATCAGACTCAAATTGAATTAATTGAGTGGAATTAAAATTGAATGGTTGCATTAGGTAACTTGGCGGTGGGTATAAAACTTATGTTTGTTACGGCTAGTATGAACCGTACGTACGAGCTGAATTGAGTAAAGGCAAGAAGCTTAATTTGTGTTGATCACATACCATAGTAATAATAATGATTTAATAGTGGGTTTTACAATAAATATGAAAGTAAACAAACAAAATAATAATATAAGATGAAAAAAAAAACTCTTTGATTACATAAAGGAAGCTTTGTCTACAAATATAGGAGAAGAAGAGAGAAGAAAGATGAAAGAGTAGAAGTGGTGTGTTACAATGAAGGAAGGCGGAAAGGGCAGATGAAATTGATTCCCACGGGCATGGCATCATGGAACAGGATAAGACTTGTTATTACACATGCACTTATAAGCTATAGGACATGTCTCAGCCTCTTCAATGGTCGAGCACACAAAGCTCACCATCACTAGCCGGCACGGTGTGCACGACCCACAGGCGTGGGAGCAATCCGGCAAGGTCGATCCCGCAACTTGGTCGACGGCGTCGGCTCTCCTGTGCTTCCTTGATCTTCTTTCCCAATAAAAACCAGGTCTCACCATTGTGTCACTGTTGCTAGGCCTTGTTGGATGATGATGCCCATGATCTGCAAAACATATATAACATTAATGAAAACCTTATTGATAATATAAAATTGCATATTATTATACCATGACCAAGTTTGAGTAAAATTTGAAGGAGTGACAGGATTAAAGATATTTAGTTTTGATATAGTAGACAAGATTGAAAATTTCTCACTATATTTTAGAATTCAACTCAAAATTAATTAAAAAATAAAAGAATAAATAAGAAACAAAGAAATGACTGTGATATTGTTACTCCAGGAGTACTTTTTGCAATAAATATGGAAAATATATAAATCAAATTTTCTAAGGCTATGTTTGATCTTATATAATTAGAATTTTGAAATTCAAGAAAAGTAACTTATAAAATTGAATTAAAATTTTCTCCAATTTCGATTCAAAAGCTCTAATTTCATGGAACCGAACACAGTATAAAGAGAATTGTTCATACGTAATTGAATAAAAATTGGGTGTGCAAGTATATGTGTGTATATATAGAGAGAGGGAGTGAGTGTGAGTCATACGTGAGCGTTGCCGGTCAATGTGCCTGGCAGAGACGATGGCCGGAACAAGAAGAAGGAGAATGAGAATAGGTGCAATGCAAACAGAAGCATTCATGCTTTTAATATTTTCTTGTAGGTACGTACTTAATGTATCTGTTGGCCAAGCTTGGTGAGTAGTTAGAGATGGATTGCAATATGAAGTGAATGTGACATAGGAAGGAGAGATTTAAAGGGTTGGGAAAAGAAGATGGAATTGAAGCAAGTCACAGGCAATATCCAGTGATTGGAAAGGTCACATGAAAGAGAAGATGGGGGCGGGCCGAGTCACAGGGCTTGAACACTGGTGGAAGTGGATTTCTCTATCTTCACGCTTTTGAGCTTCCATGCAAAGCTGATTTGGGGTGAATGAATTTACTGAATGTTTCTTTTACGTGAGTTTCTGTCCTGGGATTACAATTTCAACTCATAAATGCAATTTCAACTCATAAATGCAATTCCATATGTAACAAATTTCATATAGTTTAAAATCATAAGCCAATGTACTGAGGTTTTTAATGTGACTGCCATTAATGTTTTCTCCGATCTTATTCTTATACCTCTTGAAGAACTAGCTAGCTACGAAACAACTCCTCCTTAATTTGGTCCCCATTTCCACTTCCAAAATACAATAAATTCTTTATGTGCTGAAAAATTAAATACATTCAAATTTCTCTCATTTACATAGCTATACAACTCGACCCACAATCCAAACTTTTGACGGTCCAATCCAAGGATTTTACAAGTTGGGCCGGGCCTCTGTCCAAGTTTATTTTGGAATGCCCGGTTTACGTATATCCTGGTCTAAGTTGAAACCAGTCAAAGGGTAGTAAAGGTATATTGAAATTGCAAAGAAAAAAAGGAAAAAAAAATTATGAATTATGCTATTCGCACTCCACAAGTATAGACCCATGCTTAAATATTAACAATTTAACATAGCTATACAGTCATATAGCTCTGAATTAATTATGTCAGATTGTTTTGTTTAATTTTTATTTTTCTTTACAAAGTAAGAATTTAGTAATAGATAACCGGAAATAAAAAACATATGCAGTGTTATTTATAATCTGATGGTACCTCGTAACTTTGTGCTAGGAGAGATTGTCAACTTGCTATGGGCAAAGTTTTAACTATTCCAATAACATGTCCATCATTTTTAGTTTGTTTTGACAAAAAAAAAAAAAAAAATTGTTTTTAAGTATTTTATTACGTGTGTGCACACTATGTGCACGCGCGTATAGGGACAAGTGTAGAAAACATTCTTAACTTAGCATACTACTTTTATCTCTATTTGAAAAAATGTGCAAAAAACACCCCTAATCTTTTCACATGGTGCAAAAATACCCACTTTCACATTAATTAGTATTATAATATCCGTTTTACCCTTTTATTCTTCCGAAAATGCCAAAGGGGGTATATATGCTACTAATCTAATAATATAAGGGTGTTATGTGCACATTACCTTTTATATATATATATATTTAAACTTTTTTCTCTATATATATCTCTAAATATATATTTTTAAAAAAAAAAAAAAAAACACTAACTTTGAGAATTTGTAAAACAAAGATTTGAATTTTTTGAGATTTGAATTTATCCTTTTCTACTAAAATTTGTTTTTCTTTATTATACCAACACTGCTATCAAAATAAATAAAAAATAAAAAAAAAATTCTCAATATCAATGTGCATTGGTTTTGGAGTTTTGAGCAGATTTGTTTTCTTCAGTTTACACTTTATTTTCGTTTTTTATTTTCTATTTTTATCTTTACTTTTCCTTTATACTTTTATTTTTATTTTATATTTTTATCTTTATGTGTCCATTGTCAGTGTCCTCCAATTGTATTTTTTTTCCAGTCATTTTATAAAATTATTTATTTTTATATTTTATAAAAAAGTTCAATAAGGGTAATTTAGTCAACTTATGGTTTAAATTTGTCAGAGGGGTCTATTTACACAAATTTGAAACTTTGGGGGTGTTTTTTTGCACATGAGGGACATCCTCATTTTCGATCATTTTACAAAATTATTTATTTTTATATATTTTATAAAATGGTTCAGTAAAGGTAATTTAGTCAACTTAAGGTTCAAATTTATTAAAGGGACTTATTTGTACCAAATTGAAACTTTAAGGGTGTTTTTTGTACGTGAAGGGTGTGATATGCACTATAAACATATTTTAGGAGTGTTTTTTGCACTTGACCATATATATATATATTAAATTTTGGTACTAAAAACTCACAAATTTAGTTTGCCTTTGAACTTTGGATTTTTCTATCTTGAAAGGTAAAAAAGTAAACCTTGTTCATCTTTTGAGGTCAATGGTAAGGTCTCTAGGGTAATCTTTCTATGTTTATGATTCAATTAGAGTCTCACTTTAGAAATTCATAAACCATTGGAAATTTAAAGCGATTAGTAGAGGTGACCACGAATTTGATCGGATCAAATTAAACATTAAACTAAATTCTATTTGATCCTAAGAGTGGGTAAAAATTGAATCCAATATAATTCATTAGAAGATTTAAACTGATTCAATTTAATTCGTAAAATATCGAATTAGTTTTATAAATTGAACATTTCTAAACCGTTTAATAATTTTTTTTTAGGATAAGGTACAGTAAACCCCCCTAAACTATACCCCCAGTGAGCAAAAAACCCCCCTAAATTTCAAAATGAGCAAAAAATCACCTTAAACTATTCAGTTTGTTGCACTTTACCTGATCCGACAATTGACCGATTAATTTCCTTGCATGTGAGAGGCCAAATTTATGTAAATGACCATGTAACCCTTATCCAATTTAAAAGACCATAATGCCCATAAAACACCATTGGACCCAAACAAGCCCTAACTAATTCACTCATTGTCTTCTTCCTCCATCGATATGTGGTGCTGCTCCTTCAATATCAGTGTGTATTGCAACAATCTCCTCCCATATTTCCAAATCATTATGTATCGCATCCCCTCTTTCCAAAAATAAAATAAAATTAAAAAATAAAAAATAAAAACCTATTTACAGAACAAGAAGCTTAGATTCATTCTTGCTGGCTGCTCCTCTCCACCGCCGCATTTCTTCCTCATAGTCGAGCCCTCGCCGGTCTGTTACCGCCGCTGCACCACCTGCCGTCTATCACAGCCGACATCATCCAAAGCCAAAACTGCCGAGGCCGTTTTCATCCTCTCCACCGTTTGAAGCCTCCTTGCTCGCCGTGAGTTCTGCCACTGTTCAAACCAGCCAAGCTCGCTGCCGCGAGTCATTCAGGGCCAAGTCAGCCCTAGCAGTCGGCGATGTACAACGGTAAGATCAGGCAGCCTAGGGACAACACGACGTTGGTGAACCGAGACCCATAAACAAACGACGAAGCCCCGACCAATAACCAACAACCAAAAAATCAAAAGGCGACGCCCCGACCAGTCACTTGGCGACTATGGTATACCGACCAGCACAGCAATCCACCAACAGAAGAACATGATGAACCCCCAAATTAGAACGACGGGGCCAAAGCTTGCACACAACAAACGTAAATGATTTGGGGTTCAGATTTCTTTCTCTCTACTCTGCCAATGTGAAGCTGACAATTGGGTACAAAAGCTTTTACGGTTTAATCGTTGTTTTGAAACTCATCGGTTAGATGAAGCCGCCCGTTGTTAGGTATGTGATGGCAATCTCGGTGGAAACCCCTTCAATTTTGTGTGCCAATTTTTGTCCCAATCATGATTTTGGGTCTCAAAGTGTAGGTGATGTTAGAGTTGATCTTTAATTCAGCGTGGTGGTGGAGAGGAAATCGACGTCTTCATTAGCGTGGTGGTGGAGAGGAAATCGGCGTCTTCATCATATTGATGTATGAAGATGAAGAATGAGTTAGGCATGTTTGTTAGGGATTTGTCCAACCATCAGCCAAGGGCATTATGGTCTTTTAAATAAATATTTGGCATTTTATTTTCTTCAGTGTGACGCGGCACCGTTTTATATAGGGTAAATTAGACTTTTCCAATTTCCGGTAGCTAGAAATGACCTGAAAAACATTCTGTCCTAAGACTACACCAAGACTATAGTTGAGGGAGTTATTTGTAGTTAAGGGAGGTTAATTGCAGTTGGGTTATAGTTGAAGGGGGTTTATTGTACTTTAATTTTTTTTTTTTTATTTGACCATAGCCAACAAATATGAATCTGGCAGAATCTATTTAAAATAAATGCTTCTCAAATTAAAGTATTAAACTAATCAAATTAGAACAAATAATAAGTGTAGTTGTGTTACTTGAACAGTAAAGAATCAGATCTTATCCTAAGTTTGAATCCAATTCCCTTATCCCCAACTAAATTAATTCTTTACTGATCAGAATAGTACTAACTGTTACTTTTTTTTCTTTTATTTTTTTTTTCAATAATTTCTCGTCTTTTTGATATGATATAGCAGACACATAATATGTACAATTCTATATATAACATATATCCTCCAGCCATATATATCATTCGTTTCAGACCGTAACTTTCAACCATTTTCTGTCTCAAGCAGCTAAGAGTCGTTTTTTTGTTGGTCTGAGACCTACTTCTTTAATTCGGAGAATATGCCCTAAAGCTTTTCCTCTATCAAAGAACGAGGAGGCACGCTCTGCTTTAAGATTTTACTGTTATATTATTTAAAAGTTTTAAAAATTTACCTTTAAATATGTTTAATAATCATTAAAAATACTTTTAATAGCTATTAAATTCGGCTCGGTATTCAAAATTGCGTTCTAAAAAATAGAACAAATGATAAATCATTTATGATGATAATCGCACTTATTGTTAGGTTTTTTATTTTATTTTATTTTTTTTATCATAATTTCTTAATTCTCTCTGATATGGAGACACATACAATACCATCTTCTCCAAATAATCGTTCTTATCAACACCAACACATAATATGTACAATTCTATATATAACATATATCCTCCAGCCATATATATCATTTGTTTCAGCCCTAAGTTTCAACAATTTTCTCTCTCGAGCAACTAAGAGTTGTTTTTTGTAAGTATGGGACATACGACTACTTTTTTAATTAGTAGTGTCTGCCCTCCAGCCTTTCCCTCTATTAAAGAACGAGGAGGCATACTATACTTCCAAAATTTTACTGTTTATTTGTAGAATTGAAATTTTTTTTTTTAATAAAGACAATTACATTCCATTCTTAATAAAATTGTTATTATCAAATATGAATATGGTAACTTCATATTAAGGGATATTATTATAAAATTAATAATAAAAGTATTTAAAGAATACACTACCAAATAAATTAAAATTTAATATTATTATAAAAAGTACTTATAATAATGTGTTCATCCAATCAAATACCGTAACTTCATATTAATGGATATTATTATAAAATTAATATTAAAATTATTTTAAAAATATATTATCAAATAAATTAAAATTTAATTTTATTATGAAAAGTACTTAGTATAGTGTGTCGTTCAACACTTAACGTGCTTTTTACCAGTAATTTTTTTTTTGACAATTCTATTGATAAAATTCCTTTTTTGTTTAATTTATTTATCCCAACACTAATTTTAAACAGACTCTTAGTTTCAAACCTTTGGACATAATCAAATACTCCGTAAATGGTTAGAAGTTATGAGTGTTTTTTTTTTTTTAACCCCTTCATCCAGCCAATCGACAATAGATGTTCAGTCGGCCGAGAGATCCTTTTTTGGATTTATTTTTTTTCTTCATATTATGAGAGTTGAACTAGAGTCAATCAGTAGCAATTTGTGTAAGGCATCATGTGAACTTGAAAAAGCAACTAAAAATCAGGCAATCGTACGACTTCAGAACTATTTACAAAACAAATTATTATATATATATATATATCTATAAATATTATATTTCTGATCTGATTCCTATTAATTCTGAATTTATGAATCTTCTACCGATTATTGGATTTTAAATTCGATTCGCATAAATTAAATTAGATTGAGTCAAATTTTCGAAATCGTGGAAAAAATGAACACTCTTAGCTGCTATTGAAAGGTGGGTTAATCTTTGTTAAGTAAAAAATTAAAAAATAATAATAATAATGAAAATTATGAACTTTCACTCTAAAATGTTCAGTCCACATAACACTGAATTTGATAGAAAAGACAAAAGGCACTACGTTTCATGGTGTCCCTTCCAGAATACAGGAGGATATGTTGACGATTCGTTACTAGAATGTAAAGTTCAACATAAGCTGACCTAATAAATTTAATGGTATGCCAAAGGTCAATAATGGTGCCTCCATTCACTGTTACTTAATTTTTGTTCCGTAACACACTTGGTCTGCCTAGCCAGGTTCGTGATTGCTACTAGAAGCTGCACGGTACACATTCGCATCGGACCTCCCATCATGCGATCCAGACCGTCCATTGCATCAAATTTACAGTAACTGGGTCCGTATTTGACGAAAAGTCAACCCATCATGCATGACCCAAAATATTGAGACAGTAGATGCCTGAAACGTGTACTTCCTAGATAGTATAGTCCTGAATACTGTGTCCCTGATTCACACTGAAGGCTGGTTGAATTGTTGACTTGCCAGCTTTAACACTGAAGTCTAAACGTGCGCCCGCCATGGAAGAAAACAGACATTAGAACGGTCAAAAACCCTGTATGAAGTAATTGAAAGGAGAACAATGCTACGCTTATACACATACGGAGTATATGTGTGTATATATATATGTGTGTGGATGTATTTCAGATCTTTATTAGAAATCCATCATCTCCCTCGGTCCCTCCAACCGGTATTAATTTCGGAAGTGCCATGAATTCTCTGGTGAGGAGCACGACCTTGCATTTTCGACACCGGTCGGAGCGCCACTACGAGCCGTTGGATCAAGTGAGGTATGATGATGATAATGAGCAGGGAACATATTGGATGCCAAAGAATGAGCAACGGGGGAATATGACTAGTTCCATTAGTTTTAGACGTGACAGAGCCAAGAAAAGGCAGATATTCCTCAAAACCTACAAGTTACCTTCAATGACCTCTTCATCAAGAAAATCGAAATCTAGGAAGATGAAGCAGGTGGTCGTCAAAGTTAGATCAGCTGTAGTGTCCATACTGTCGGTCATGCGATTTAATTCATTAACGTCTTGCAGATCACCATCGGCAGCTCGCGCTTCTTCTCCGGCTCCAGTTCAGAAATGTTTTTGATCTTTTGTTTTTTATTTAGCTTATAGTATCTCACTTACAATAATTAAGCGTGATTTGCTTGTGATTAGAAGGATTCACGTTGATCAATTGAGCTTTTGGGAATTAAGTGAGAAGAGAATGACCAAGAAATGGAGAAAGAGGAGGTTGCAGCTTGATGGCTAATTAAGACCTATCATATGGTTAATCCATATTCCTTTTTTGGTGGTGATTGGGGATAATTGAAATTAATTATCTTTCAATTTGTATACAAAACATATCTTCCGGGTTTTTTTTTTTTTTTTTTTATGTAATAGTGTAGAAAATTTATTAAACAGGGTTTCTATGCTTGAAATTAATTGTGTGTATGGATTCAACATTATCATTTAACCTGTTTTGAATTACTTGTTCAACCCTTCTCCCATTAATTTTCTTTCCATCTTTATAACTTGTAGGTATCAAAAACATTAACTGACTGTAGGTCTATTTTTAAATAATGGTTTATAACACTTAATTTTCTGATGTATGATATCTGAAGTTAGTTATAAAATCTTCCCATTTGAGCATTACACAAATAGAATTAGTTAGTAGGTCAAAAGTAACAAACATCAACCCATATATACTGAGATAGATTTGAAATTTGTTTGACGCAGCTAAGTACATTATCAACTACATTCACATATATTTCACCTCCATTCCCTTCATCAGTAGCTACCAAAATCAATTAATTAATTAGCTATATATATATATATATATAGATATGCCATTAATTAGGTGCATGGTCCCCAAAATCAAATCTCAAAATAGTAAGTAAATTAAGCGTACACTCCTCCTCTATATAAGAAGAAAATTTAGTTATATATAGTAGTATAACCACCATACGAGGCAGGCCAACTAGACAGAGAGGCCTATAACCACACATGCGTAACAATGCCCTTAACCATTGCAACCATCTCCAAATTAATCATCCTCTCTCTGGTCCAGATATTGTTGGAGATCAGGAAGAAGAAGAGCCTCTCTTTCTTCTTTCTAGTCTTGTGTTGAATGTTCAAAGCCTAGGAGGGGTACCTAAATTAATCCCTCTTTTTTCTTTGCATGTCCAATGAATGCTCCTCCTCCTCAACAACAATATGTCATGCTACAGCAGGGGAGCAATCAATCACAACCCCCTTTCCGTCGCAGCATCCCACCCTACAACCACCCCAGCCACCGTAGGAAAGGCAGCTGTTGCCTCAGGTGCATTTGCTTCTGCTTCTGCTTCATCTTCGTCTTGATCCTAATCCTCTTTGGTGCTATTTTCTATTTCTACAATGTCTACGCACCCAAAATGCCCATCTACCAAGTCGAAGACCTCAATGTCAAATCCTTCAATTTTGTCCACACTGACTCAACCGTCAACACCGAGTTTCTTGTTACTGTCAAGGCCGAGAATCCTAACAAGAACATAGAATTCGTTTATGGCGAAAACAGCTCCGTGGTCGTGTCCTACACCGACAATGCACTTTGCTCCGGGAAGCTACCGGATTTTCGCCAAGGCCATATGAACACAACATTGATGAAAGTGACATTGACGGGGAAGTCTAAGTTGGGGCCAGGGATGCAGGAGGCACTCATGAAGACCAGAGATGGCGGGAGCATTCCATTGCTTGTGAGGGTACAGGTGCCTATAAAAGTCATCTTTGGGGAATTCCCACTCAGACAATTCATGGTTTATGCTAATTGTTCTTTGGTTGTCCAGAACTTGGCACCCAATCAGAAGACTAAAATTTTAAATAGTAAATATAGCTTTGATTTTTCGTTTTGATCCACACCAAACACATGTACTTTCAATCTCTCTAGTACTTTAATTACTTTTCCGAGAGAACAAATCAGGTACTTCATTGCAATATGTTACTACTTTGTACCTACTATATATTCCAATTGTTTTACAAGGATTTTTTGTACCGGGAATTATATAAATATGTGCAGGCCGTGTAGCTTGCGTAATGTAAATTATGTAAATGTAGGTTTCTCTTACATTTTTCATTCATTTTTAACAATTTTAATTTTTCGGGCAATCAGCTTTCTCTTAGATTTGCATTAATTTGAATACTGTCTGTGAGTTTCCATGTTTAGATTATAATAGGCTTCTGTAATTATTAAGCGTATCGGAAAATTTAATTAAGAAAGAATGGCTAGCTAGATTGATGTCCAAATTGCTAGCAAAATCATTGATCATGATCAGCGAAGACCTGTGTATTAGTAAAACAATATGTAAAAGAATCAAAATCAATGGTGCTCATGTTTGGTTCTAGACTAGCTAGGTTAATGCATATAGACTCTATTTATTTGTAGTAAAAAAGAGAGAGAAAATGGTGCAACTGTTTATCATTATGTGTGAACCAATAACCAAGAGACAGTATTTAACGCATCACAAAAACTTTTTCATGTATTAGTAACAGGAAAATTTTGTTGTGGACTCATTGCCACCGTGGGGGTAGAAAAGGGAGGCTACTGCAATACGATGTATATGATTCTGAAACTGGAGCTTCTTCATCACTGGGGATGAATTCTAGCCATCTAATTTAACTATTAAAAATTCAAGTCATAAATCAAGTGATTATATATATATATTTAAGTAATGTAAATTATATTGGTGAAAAAGTATATAATAAAAGTGAATGAAAGTGCAAGGTAGCAATAAGACCTAGCACATCCCATGCAACAGGGCTACAAATTCTTAATTTCTAATAATGTGAAGTTAATCCAGTGTGCTTTTTCCTTTCAAAACCACATAAATAATGTGGTGAAACGAGTAATATATATAGCACCGTTTAGATATTAGAAATATGGTAATCCTTGTGCAATTGAAGCAAGATGTCACGGGTTTAGAGTTTCAGCACCACTCTAACTACTCTCGTACGGCACCAAGACATTGCTTCTACTCTTGCAAGTACTTGGTCAGCCTAACTCCCGTGCACACCTTAGCCAACACACTCCCCTCGTGTGCTTACTAGTGTTGTAGTGGCTCTCGCCCTCTCCTCACTTGGCTTGCACACTCACACACACTAAGGCACTTAAGTTGGTAAGGAAAAAACACTTCTATTACTTCAACGAATGCTTTGTACAAGGCTAGCCGCAAATTCTCTACAAGGCTCTTAAGGCTCACTCTAGGACTTGTTTGTTTCAAAATGAAGTCCTACTCCTATTTATAGGCATCCCCATCCCTAATGGATGGCTAGGATGCATTCTAACCAACGATGGAGATCGATTCTCTAGAACATTCTCCTACCTTCTTCACACTTCCATACTTATCTACTAGTATCTGTAACATTCTAGAACTCTCCATACTACTCCACACAATTCTGCAGAACTCTAGAATTTTCCACATACTTCTACAATATTCTACACATTTCTACACATATCTAGAATCTTCCACACAACTCTAGACAACTCCGGAAGATTCTAGAAACTCCACTCGCCATGCAATTGCCATACAGCGTCATCCTCAACTTCTGCGTATCGTCTGTGTGGCACAACCTCCATAGGCGGGGCGTGACATTCTCCCCCACCCATTTCCGTGACGCCCTCGTCACGGTTTCTTCAGCTGACCCAGCCTCTCGCAGGTCATCAGCACTTGCGCATATGTCCTTGGCCCAAACGTACGAGCGCCCTTCGGGAGATGTGAGGTCCTCACGAGCTCCATCGTGTTCACTGCCACCTCTGGACTCTCCTTCCTGCCCACGAGCGGCACCATGCATGCGGCCTTGCTTTCTTCACCTCCAAGTATCATCAACGCACCAAGGCATGGTAGTGGCGCAACGTTGTTCCTATCCATGAATTCCAGCCCCAGCACCATGTCTGTAACACCCCCACATTTTCCACGCATAAGTTGATCAGGCTTATACACGAAAAACGAGGGATATCAAAAACAATTGGCAATATACAAGCATGGAATACAAAATGATGGAAATAAAAGAATTTAGACAGGAAAGAAACATTAAATAATACAACATCCATCCATCCTTTATTTAATACAGTACTTCATTACAACTTGGAAATCCTACGTCAGGGATCCCTAAATATAACCCTGAGAGTTCAACGTCAAAAGTAAATAAAAACTGAAACTGAAGTATTACATAAAACTTCTACCCTGCACTGGATCGTAAGAGTAGATGAGTTCGGATGATGGTCCCACACTGCTAACCTCAGCCTTGAAACGGATACTGACCGTATCCTGAAATAACAACAATGGTGGGTCAACCCCACGAGCAAGTCCTCTCTACTATGACCCAAATCAGAGAATCAAATAAATTAATCATTATGAATCGGATGAGTACTATATCTGTATACATCCTACGGGAACTATCCGATGTATAACATGACCTCAACCAGAATAGACGGTGATCACTTAGACTCACACTAGGTGGTTAAGTGTCGCCTTTCCCTACCCGGGAAATCAGCTATTATACATGGTGCACGGTACTGACAACACAGACTATAACGAACTACACAGTGATAACACCTCGCAAAGTACTGATGAATATACTGAGCATATAAATTAGGCAACACATGCCAACAATATTAAGAAATATACCGAGTATGTCAATTAGGCAACACATGCCAATAATATTAATAAATATACCGAGTATGTCAATTAGGCAACACATGCCAATAATATTAATAAATATACCGAGTATGTCAATTAGGCAACACATGCCAATAATATTAAACCACATACCCCGACAGCCACACACTTGTCTATCGCAACGAATGCATAAGGTATAAATGAGTCTAAACTTATTAGTCAGCTCACATGGTTCTATATGGCAACACATCCATATAATATAAATGCGATATAATAAACAGTCCATTTATTCCCTGAAATGCACACAGCATAATCATCATGGTTTATATACGATTAACAGTATAAATATTCCATAATATATAATGGGTTATTTATATGAATAAAACCAAGCACTAATTAATTTAACATTAATGGTTATTACAGTTTACTAAAATAATACCATTAATAGTCGTTAAATCAATTACATATGTTTACTAGCGATTCGCACTTTAACTGATACAATTAATATTTAGAAATATTAATCGGACAATTATAATAATTAACGAGAAATAAAATAATAATATAATGTCCCGTTAATTCCAAAAATGCCAACCCGAGGCCCCAAAATGTATAGTGAAGGTCCTGGTAATGACAAAACAGTCCCTAGGGGTATTCTGGACTTTTTCCAGCAGCCGCAGAGGCCCTTCACGCGCCCCCACGCGCCTCCCAGAGCTCCCCACACGCGCCGCCAAGCTTTCCCACTCTCCCACGCGCCTCCACGCGCGTCTGGCGTCAGCCACGCGCGCACATGCGCTCCCACGCTCGTCTGGAGCGTTCCACGCGCGCGCACGCGCTCCCACGCGCGCGTTGATGGCTTCCTGCTGACGTGGCGTCCTCCGGTTGGTTGGCTGCATCAGCTTTCCTACATGCGCGCCACACCGGATCAATCCACCTACATCTCCTCCATCCAACGTTCACGGATCCGGGTGTACCGCGGTAACATGGACCGCGGTGCACCGGATCAATCGCTGCTGGTTAATGGTCCAGATGCGCGCGCATACCCTCCTATGGTGCGCCGCATCACACCGGATCACTCCGGTCGTCTCCCCCATTGTCGGCGACCGGAAAACTCGCCGGAAATTGCAGAAAATGCCCGGAAAAATCTAGAAAATTCTAGAAAAATCCCTAAAGTCTTATTTAATTATTTTCAGCTATATTTTAATTACATAGGCTAAATAAATAAATAACTAACCACTTTAATAATTAAAACACATTATTTTAATAAACTAAAATAATTTATTGAAACTTCTAGCATGGTTTCTAGTCTCAAAAAGAAACCCGAAATAAATTAAATGAATAGTTTATGGATTCAAAGGGGAAAAGTAGATAATAACTTGCCTTTTTGGATTTAAAATAAATCCGCCGGTCTGCGCGTAGTCGGGTAAAATTACCTACACCGGTCCAAGCTTCTTTCTCTTTCTCTTTTCCTTTCACTCTTATAAAATAACTCACTAGAATTTATACTTTGCTTCTAACTCCCTTTCTTTTCTTCTAAGGTAAGTTTAGCTAATTTATATACAAAATATATAATATAAATATTACAAATATCTAATTTTTCATCTACTAACCATCTTCCCAACCATAAGGCTTCAATTCCACCCATAACCATTGATGCAATCCTATCCTAATCTCTAATTTCATCATGACATTGGTTTAATACTATTATTATTATTATAACTATTATTATTATTATTACTAATATTATTATTATTAAACTTTTATAATTATTATTATTATTATTATATTATTAAACTAATATAATTATTATTATTACAAAATAATACATTATATCATCATAATACTATATAACACAAATATAATACTTTAATTAACTAATAATGATTAATATAAGCATAACCAACAAATTAGATTATTAATAATAATACATGCATAATTAAATGAATAAATTTACTATTTTACCATACACAATTAATTTACATGTACCATTAAATGAACTTAATATAATAATGTAGTATGCACAAATAAATAAAATTAATTAACCTAACATAAAATTAATTTAAATACATTCTTTAAAATTACGGGGTATTACAATGTCATGGTCGTCCATCTCCGCAACTTGGAAGTCGGCATTGCCCTTTCATCCTGGCATGCATAGTTCTACTTCCTTGCACACTCTACTCATGCGTGCCTCCTCGGAGTTGACGGCCTCGATTCAGCCCTCCGTTTTGCGCATCTCCAAGCCAAGTCGTTGCGCCTCCTCCGGGGTAATGAAGTTGTGTGTGGCGCCCGTATCCACCAACGCTTGCACGACTTTGCCACCAACCTGCGCATCCACATAGCGCACCCTAGCTACCTTCTTCTCCTTGCCCTTCTTCTTGGTGTCATGCGTTATGCTACTCAGCATCTGCATAGCCCCCATGCACTTGTCTTCGTCGCTGCCTGCAT